TCATCTGTGTGATCCGAAGGCAATAATTTCTTCTGTGTCCTTGGAAAAAATTTTTTACGTATACCGTATCAGTAGAGATTTTTACAGGAAACAAATCATACTGTAGAAACTGTTTTGCTTTTTTTCCACTTAATGTCTGTGTTAGGTCCTCCAGAGACATAGAACCAATAGGATGGGCAGATGGATGGATGGATGGATGGATGGATGGATGGATGGATGGATGGACGGAATTTATTAGGGGAATTGGCTCATGTAATTATGGAGAATGAAAACTCCCCACAATAGGCTGTTTGCAAGCTGGATACCCTGGGATGCCAGTAGTATGGCTCAGTGCAAGTCTGAAGGCCTGAGAACAAGGGGTAAGGGGTGCTGAGTGTAAGGCCTGAAATCCAAGGCCTGGAGAGCCTGGAGTTCTGATGTCCAAGGGTAGGAGAAGAATAATGTGTCCCAGCTCCAGGAGAGAGATAAATTTGCCTTTCCTATGTTTTTATTCTATTTAGCCCCCCAGCCAGTTGAGTGGTGTTCACCCACATTGAGAGCAGATCTTCCCCACTTAGTCACTGAGACTCACACTCCAATCTCCTCTGCAAACACCCGCACAGACACACCAGAAAATAATACTTTACTAGTTCTCTGGGTATTTCTTACTCCAGTCAAACTGATACCTAAAATTAACCATTACAGTATTTCCTGGAGACCTTTCTATAGCAGCACATATGTATGTCATATGTCATATATGTTATACATACAGAAATGTGCATAAAATATAAATGGATAGTTTTAAAAATTAATGTGAACACTTGTAGTTACCACCTGAGAATCCCTCTTCTCTTAGTGTGTCCCTCCCCAAATACATTGTTTTCCAACTTACTTTTGTTTTTTTTTTGAGATGGAGTCCTGCTCTGTCGCCCAGGCTGGAGTGTAGTGGCGCGATCTCAGCTCACTGCAACCTCTGCCTCCCAGGCTCAAGCAATTCTCCTGCCTCAGCCTCCTGAGTAGCTGGGATTACAGGCATGCGCCACCACGCCTCACTAATTTTTGTATTTTTAGTAGAGATGAGGTTTCACCATGTTGGCCAGGCTGGTCTCGAACTCCTGACCTCAGGTGATCCGTCCGCCTTGGCCTCCCGAAGTAGTGGGATTACAGGCGTGAGCCACCTCACCCAGCTCTTTGTTACCTTTCTGAAGGTAACCACTGTTTGTTTTATCTTCCCATATTTCTCCTTACAGTTTTACCACATTTGCATGTATCCCTAAACAGCATACATATATTTTGAAAAACTAAGTACTGGTGATTAGACATGTCTACCAGTATTTTCCAGTAATCTCTCAATTCCCCAGATATTTGAAATTTTCCCTTTATCATAAACTAAAATCTTGTTTATAAATGGGTGTGTCTCTGGATTTTTTTCTTCCATTAATCTGTCACATATTTTTATAATTGTTCAGTTGATTGTCTTGGGTATTTTAGATAGGCATTTATCTCTGCTGATAACGACCATTTTTTTCTCTTTCTTTCTAGCACTTATACCTTTTTCTGTTTTGTTTTCATTGCTTTAGCTGTGGCTTCCAGAATAATGTTGATTGATACTAGCAATAGAGCACATCTTTTATTTCTGATGTTTTGCTATTTGTTTCATATTTCTGTTTTTATGTTAAGGAACTATCCTTTAATTGCTTATTTACTAGTAGTAGTTTTAGGAATTATGTTTAATCAAATACCCTTTATTTAGCAAGATGATGGAGTAGTTTTTCTCCTTTAATCAACTAATATTATATATTGGATTAGTATTTTCTAATGTTGGAACATCTTTGCATTTCTGGAATAAATCATGCTTGGTCATGATGTGTTATGTTAATATAATATTGATTTTTTTTCTCAATATATTATTTAGAAGTTTTTCATCTGTACTCCTAGTGCCATTGGCTTTATAAAGTTTTTGGGGGGGGCTATGGCCTTCATCAGATGTTAATATTAGGGTTATGGTATAAAAGAGAAGGAAAGCTTATTATTTTTTTCTATGTCCTACCACAATTTAAATAGTATAGGAATTATTTGTTTTACAGGGTTTCCTAAAAATCTCCCGTAAAACTGGGCTACCAACTGATTTTTTTTTTTTTTTGAGATGGAGTCTCGCTCTGTCGCCCAGGCTGGAGTGCAGTGGCGTGATCTCTGCTCATTGCAAACTCCACCTCCTGGGTTCACGCCATTCTCCTGCCTCAGCCTCCTGAGTAGCTGGGACTACCGGCGCCCATTACCACGCCCGGCTAATTTTTTTTTTTATTTTTAGTAAAGATGGGGTTTCACCATGTTAGCCAGGATGGTCTTGATCTCCTGACCTTGTGACCCGCCTGCCTCAGCCTCCCAAAGTGCTGGGATTACAGGCATGAGCCACCGCGCCCGGCCTACTAACTGATTTTTAATATGTATTTCATATTCTTGTAGTGTCTTGGTATTGTTGTATATGGAAAAAAGTCTTTTTTTCTGCTTTAGAATAGAAAACAGTTGGAATCATCTTAGGAACACATTTGTTTGTTTTTTGTTTTGTTATTTATTTTTATTTTTTTAATATGTATTTTTTTGAGATGGAGTCTTGCTTTGTTGCCCAAGCTGGAGTGCAATGGCATGATAGCGGCTCACTGCAACCTCCGCCTCCTGGTTCAAGTGATTCTGCCTGCCTCAGCCTGTGGAGTAACTGGGATTAAAGGTGCCTGCCACCACACCTGTGTAATTTTTGTATTTTTAGTAGAGGGGGGGTTTTACCATGTTGGCCAGGCTGGTCTCGAACTCCTGACCTCAGATGATCTGCCCACCTTGGCCTTCTAAAGTGTTGGGATTACAGGCGTGAGCCACTGCACCTGGCCTTTGTTTTTGTTTGTTTTTTTTGTTTGTTTTTTTTTTTGAGACAGAGTCTTGCTTTGTCATCCAGGCTGGAGTGCAGTGGCACAGTGATGTGATCTTGGCTCATTGCAGTCTCCATTAATAGTATGTACTTTATATGATTTTCATCATTTTTAAACTTAGTCAAACTTGTTTTATGGCCCAGAATATTCTGTGTGTACTACAGAAGAATGCACATTTTGGATAGTGATTTCTGTAAATGTCAATCTGATAAAGTTTGATGATAGTGTTGTTCAAATCTACTTTATATTTATTGGTTTTCTGTCTGTTCTACAAATATTTTGAGGCTATTGAAGTCTTTGACCATAATTGTGAATTTGTCTTACTTCTCTTTTTTTTTTTTTTTTTTTTTTTTTGAGACAGTCTTACTCTGTTGCCTTAGGCTGTAGTGCAGTGGTGCGATCTTGGCTCACTGCAACCTCTGCCTCCTGGGTTCAATTGATTCTCATGCCTCAGCCTCCTGAGTAGCTGGGATTACAGGCATATGCCACCATGCCTGGCTAATTTTTGTATTTTTAGTAGAGATTGGGTTTCACCATGTTAGCCAGGCTGGTCTCGAACTTCTGACCTCAGGTGATCCGCCCACCTGGGCCTCCCAAAGTGCTGGGATTACAGGTGTGAGCCACTGCACCTGGCCCACAGTTAATTTTAGAACATTTTCCACCCTCCATGGCCACTGCCCTCGCCAGCCTCACACCACACTATACTCTGCCAGTCTGCATGGCCCAGTAGCAGCGGCCTAGAACATTTTCATTACCCCCCAGAAAAAAACCCATTTTCATTAGCAGTTACTCTCCATTTTCCCCTAAACCCCTAGCCCTTGACAACCGCTAATCTACTTTCTATACGGATTTGCCCATTCTGGGCATGTCTTATAAATGGAATTATATGATATATGTGTGGCCTTTTGTCTGGCTGCTTTCAATTATGTATTTTCAAGGTGCATTCATTTTGTAGTGTGTATCAGCACCTAATTTCTTTTTTGTCCACAGTGGTGGCACTGTTTTATATTCCCACCAACAGTGTACTAGGGTTCCAGTTTTTCTAATCCTTGCCAATGCTTATTTTCTGATTTCAAACAAATTATTTTAATTATCCTAGTGGGTGTGAAGTGATACCTTATTGTGATTTTGATTTGTATTTCCCTGATGACTAATGATGTTGGGCATCTTTTCATGTACTTCTTGGACATTTCTATATCTTCATTTTCAGAGAAATTCTGTTCAAACGCTTTGCCCAGTTTTATTTTTATTTATTTATTTTTAGAGATGGGATGTTGCTTTGTCTCCCAGGCTGGAATACAGTGGTGCGATCTTAGCTTGCTGCAGCCTGGAAGTCCTGGGTTCAAGTGATCCATCTGCTCCAGCCTCCTGAATAGCTAGGATCATGCCTGGCTAATTAAAGAAAAAATAAATTTTTTTTTTTAATTTAAAAAGAATTTTTTTTTGGGAGGGGGTAAGGACAGGATCTCTCTACATTCCCCAGGATGGTTTTGAACTGGCCTCAAGCTATTCTCCCACTTCAAAGTGTTGGGATTACAGGCATGAGCCACTGTGCCTGGCCTTTTATTTCTTTCTCTTTTATTTTTTGTTTTCTTGATTATTTTGTTTGTGTTTCTTATTAAATTTTAGGGTGGAATGTAGGGTTGGTGTATTTGGTTCACTTTTGCTTCTATAGGGTTTTTCATTTACCCTCTTTTTCCTTTCCTTTACTATCCAGTGTCGAAAGAGTGATTTAAAATAAATGAATAAACACTGAGTTTAAACATTATTATTGTTTTTTTAAATCTTCAGTCAAGCTACTCTGATCTCAGGTGATGCTTACTGGTATTTTAGAGATAGACTAGTTTTTGTGTGACTGTTTATATGACAGATAATAATGCCAATATATCACACGTTTTTGTTTTTAATGGTTTTTATTGGTTCTAGATCTTATGTTTTCCTTTTTGTACTGAAAAGGATCTTCTGATGTTTTATGTGCATATTTATAACAATCATCAATTCCTCAGAGGCCTCTCTTAGCCATAGAGGAGGTAGAAGAGAGAGAAATTACTACTTTTAGTGGCAGCCACACTGATCATATTTCTTGTTTTGCAACAGGAACCAAAGGAGGAAAATGGATTGCAGAAAATGAAGACAAAACCGTCGAATCGAGCAAAGTGTTTGGCCAAAAGAAAAATTGCACGTATGTTTTCATTTTTGTTGAGAATGGTTTGGGAATTGTAATAGTCATAGAACTGATACATTTTGGGCTAGTTGATTATCTTGCATTCTTAGCTCTCTGATAGATTCAAGAAAAGTTGTGAATTTATCAGTTTTTGTTGCTATTGTCATAAGGATTGGAAGAATAACTTTTTTCAGTTTCCTGTATCTTAAGTGGAATCCAGAAGTGGTCATTCTGAATCTTAAAAAAATTTTTTTTTAATTTATTATTTTTTTAGAGACAGAATCTCACTGTCACCCAGGCTTAAGTGTAGGGGTATGGTATGATCATAGTTCACTGCAGCCTTGAACTCATTGGCTCAAGTGATTCTCCTGTCTCAGCTTCCCAAGTATGCCCCACAACGCCTGGCTAATTTTAATTTTTTTTTTTTACACAGGGTCCTGCTGTGTTGTCCAGGCTCATCTCAAACTCCTGGCCTCAAGCAGTCCTCCAGTTTGGGCCTCCCAGTGTTGGGATTACAGGCGCCAGCCACCAGTTAGCCCCCCATTCTGAATCTTACTGAGCAGCAAAATCTGTTTTTATGATTTCTTTTTTTTTTTTGAGATTGAGTCGTGCTCTGTTGCCCAGGCTGAGTGCACTGGTGTGATCTTGGCTCACTGCAAGCTCTGCCTCCCGGGTTCATACGATTCTTCCACCTCAGCCTCCTGAGTAGCTAGACCTATAGGCACACGTCACTACACCCTGCTAATGTTTGCCAGGCTAATCTCTAGCTCCTGACCTCAAGCGATCCACCCGCCTCAGCCTCCCAAAGTGCTGGGATTATAGGCATGAGCCACCACGCCTGGCCAGAACAGAAGTTTTAAACTTTGATGTGGTCCATTTTTTTCTCTTTTATGGTTTTTTTCTTTCTGTGTCCTAAGAAATCTTTGACTACACTAAGGTTATGAAGATTTCCACCTATTTTCTTTTGGAAATTTTGTAGTTTTAGCTTTAGCATTTAGATTTCTAATCCATTTTGAGTTTTTGTATATGGTGCAAGGTAAGAGTTAAGGTTCATTTTTTTTTTCATATGGGTATCCAATCATTCTTGTACCATTTGTTGAAAAGACTGTCCTTTCCTTGTGTTGAAAATCAATGCATGGGTCTATTTCTGAATTTTCTGTTCTTTTCCATTTATTTATGTTTGTCATTATGCCATACCACACTGTCTTGATTACTGTAGCTTTATAATATCTTAAAATCAGGTAGTATAATTCTTCCAACTTTATTTTAAAAATTGTTTTAATCTGGGTCTTTTGCATTCCTGTATAAATTTAATTTTATTATTTATTTATTATTATTATTTTTTGAGACAGGGTCCCACTCTGCCACCCAGGCTGGAATATAGTGGTGTGGGTGCAGCACACTGTAGTCTCAACCTCCTAGGCTCAAGTGGTCCTCCAGCCTTAGCCTCCTGAGTAGCTGGGACTAACAGGCATACATCACCATACCCAGCTAACTTTTTTTTTTTCTTTCTTTTTGAGACAGGGTCTCCCTCTGTTGCCCAGGTTGGAATGCAGTAGCTCACTACAACCTCTGCCTCCTGGGCACAAGCGATCCTCCCACCTCAGCCTCCCAAGTAGGTAGGACCACAGGTGTATACCACCACACCCAGCTAGTTTTTTATTATTTGTCCAGACAAGATCTCACTATGTTGCCCAGGCTGGTCTTGAACTGCTGGGCTCAAGTGATTCTCCCACCTCTGCCTCCTGAGTAGCTGGGACTATAGGTGTGCATCACCACACCCAACTATTTTTAAAAATTTGTTTTCTTCTTTTCTTTCTTTCTTTCTTTTTTTTTTTTTTTTTTTTTGAGTCAGGGTCTCGCTTTGTCACCTATGCTGGAATGCATTGGTGTGATCTTGGCTCACTGCAGCCTCGACCACCTGGACTTGAGCAATTATAGGCATGAGCCACTGCACTGGCCCTATTTTTCATTGTTATTCTCCTGAGGCGCCTTTTTAGACTATTTTTCCCTCTAACCATTGCCATCCCCATGATATTTTAATACCACAGATATGCTATGTGTTCTGTTTATGTACTGATTGTATGTCTGTATTTTATACATAAGATTTTTTTTTTTGACCTCTAAGAACCAATTTTTGTCCACTTGGGAATGGTACCACTCTTGTTGAGAATGCATGATAGAAGTTGCCAGACTTGGCCTTGCACAGTGGCTCATGCCTGTGATCCCAGCACTTTGGGAGGCCGAGACGGGCGGATCACCTGAGGTCAGGAGTTTGAGACTAGGCTGGCCAACATGGTGAAACCTCATCTCTACTAAAAATACAAAAATTAGCCAGGCCTGGTGGCGGGCACCCATAATCCCAGCTACTCAGGAGGCTGAGGCAGGAGAATCACTTGTACCTGGGAGGCAGAGGTTGCAGTGAGCCGAGATCACGCCACTGCACTCCAGCCTGGGCGACAGAGAGAGACGCCCTGGCTGATTTTTTTGTATTTTTTTAGTTGAGATGAGGTTTCACTGTGTTAGCCAGGATGGTCTCGATCTCCTGACCTTGTGATCCGCCCGCCTTGGCCTCCCAAAGTGCTGGCATGAGCCACTGCGCCCGGCCAGAATTAATTTTTTGTTTAATTTTTTCTGTGTTGTATGCCCATCTTTCATTTTATTGATTTCTTTCTGTTCTTTATGTTTTTTTTTCTTTCTCCTTACTTGGGTTAATTTTACTCTTTATATTCTAGCATTTTAAGGTGGGAAACTCGGATTACTGATTTTAAAATTTTGCCTTATATGAGCATGGAAAACTATAAATTTCACTATAAATGCGGCTTTTGTTGCATCCTACAGATTCTGATATGTTTTCATTTTCATTAAGGTCATTTCAAATTCAGTTGGGTGCATTTTTTATGTTTGGATTCAATTTTAGTGATCCCCTGTACTTGTTGATTTCGTATTACTAAAACATGTTTAAGATTTGTGTGATTCCATATGTCAAAGTTATACAAAAAAATATAGTCAAAGAAGTGTCATTTCCTCTCTTGTGCCCTTCACTCTGTTCTCAACCACTGATAGGTAATCGTTTGCATTAGTTTCTGGTTTATCTTTCTTTCTTTCTTTTTCTTCTTTTTGTTTTTTTTTTGTGAGACCAGAGAGTCTCTGTGTCACTCAGGCTAGAGTGCAGTAGTGTGATCTTGGCTTGCCTCCTGAGTTCAAGGGATTCTCCTGTCTCAGTCTCCAGAGTAGCTGGGACTATAAGCGCATGCCACCATGCCCGGCTAATTTTTGTGTTTTTGGTAGAGACAGGCTTTCGCCATGTTGTCCAGGCTGGTGTCGAACTCCTGACCTCTGGTGATCTGCGTGCTGCAATCTCCCAAAGTGCTGGGATTACAGGCGTGAGCCACCATGCGCAGCCTATTTCTGGTTTATCTTTCTTTTGTGACACTGTACAAATAAATAGGTGTGTGTGCATTTTCTTATTTCTCCTTCCTTATGTGAAAGGTAGCATATTATCCATAAATTCTTTTGTACTTTATTTTTTACTTAATAACATATCCTTGAAATCACTTTATTCCCAGTCCATAGATATATTCCTTGTTCTTTTTTATAACTGTATGTATGTGTACTACAGTTTATGGTTATTAAATAGATTCTAGTGTTTGGCAAATTTGAACATTGCTGCAATGATATACTCCTTTTAATTAGAAGTGTATCTTTAGGGTAAGTTGCTAGAAGTGAGATTGCTAGGTCAAAGGGTAACTTTATGTAGGTTGTTAGACATTACCAAATCCCCCCCATAAACAACATCCAAAATGGTGATATTCTAATTCTCTCATTTCTTTTACGTTTTTTTAACTGTAATAATTCTATAAAGAGGAGCTTTTAATCTGCTTGGTTACCCAGTAGTATAGCTTGTGTAGACAAAGTAGGGTAAAAACAATTCTATTATTTTATTTATCAGTTTTCATTTTTTTTTTTTTTGAGACAGAGTCTCGCTTTATCACGCAGGCTGGAGTGCAGGGACATGATCTCGGCTCACTGCAGGCTCCGCCTCCTGGGTTCAAGCCATTCTCCTCCCTCAGCCTCCCGAGTAGCTGGGACTACAGGTGCCTGCCACCACGCCCGGCTAATTTTTTGTGGTTTTAGTAGAGACGGGGTTTCACTATGTTAGCCAGGATGGTCTCGGTCTCATGACCTCATGATCCACCCACCTCGGCCTCCCAAAGTGCTGGGATTACAGGCATGAGCCACCACGCCTTATCAGTTTTCATATAGTTGATTCACTAACATTCTTCAACAGTGACTGGTTAGTCAATGTCTTTTTAAAAAAATATTAGTATGAACTTACAGGGTTTTTTTTCTTTTGTTTTGTTTTGTTTTTGAGATGGAGTCTTGCTTTTGTCACCTAGGGTGGAGTGCACCGATTTTGGCTCACTGCAACCTCCGCCTCCCGGGTTCAAGTGATTCGCCTTCCTCAGCCTCCCAAGTAGCTGGGACTACAGGCACCCACCACCACGCCTGGCTAATTTTTGTATTTTTAGTAGAGATGGGGTTTCACCGTGTTGTCCATGATGATCTCGAACTCGCGACCTCACATGATCCTCCCACCTTGGCCTCCCACCGTCCTGGGATTACAGGCATGAGCCACCACACCTGGCCTGAACTTACAGATGTAATATAGATGTAACTACAGATGTAAATATATTTGATGTAGTTTAATGCATTGCATTCATTATCTTTTTTTTTTTTTTTTTTGAGATGGAGTCTCCCTCTGTCGCCCAGGCTAGAGTGCAGTGGCCGGATCTCAGCTCACTGCAAGCTCCGCCTCCCGGGTTTACGCCATTCTCCTGCCTCAGCCTCCCGAGTAGCTGGGACTACAGGCGCCCACCACCTCGCCCAGCTAGTTTTTTGTATTTTTTTTAGTAGAGACGAGGTTTCACTGTGTTAGCCAGGATGGTCTCGATCTCCTGACCTCGTGATCCACCCATCTCGGCCTCCCAAAGTGCTGGGATTACAGGCTTGAGCCACCGCGCCCGGCCCGCATTCGTTATCTTTATTGATGCTCCAGTTTCATTTTTGGCCAGTGAGGAGTCTGTTTAATTGGCTCCTAAGTTCTTTCGATATGACTCTAGTAGTGTCTAATAGATTCCTTGCTTACATCTGTGACAAATATTCTAGCTCATCTTGTTCATTTCATGCTTTGGACTTGAGGCCACCCATTTCTTCAGTGTACCCCAGTTCCTTTTAAATGGAAAATGGTGTCTGGAGACCACATTCTTGTCACTAGGGATGTTCTTTTCTACTGGGTAAATCAGAGGATTCTGAGTACTAAAATTATTCTGGCTAAATGTTGAGCATAAAGCATTGTGGATTTAGTAAAAAGCTCTAGAGTGGGCATTAATTCCTCTATTTATTCATTGAGCAAATATTTATTACGTACCCTATGCCCAGCACTTTTTTATGTGCTGGAGGTATAACAGTGAACAGTGTAGGTGAAAACTCAGCCTTCATGGGAGCTTACAGCCTAGTTAACCCAGGATTCTTGTTGTAACTGCTGCTAATTATCTTGACCAACACCTTACCTTTTGGGGTTTTCCTTCTTTACAAGATTATAAAATTGTACGGTCTTGTAATGTCTTCAGTTGAAAAGTTTAATAATTCTCTTTCTTGCCTCCATGCTTATTCAGTGTTTGTGGTGTCCCTCCCTCTCTTTTCCCTACCCTCTTATAGAGATGACAGAAGAAGAACAGTTTGCTCTGGCTCTCAAAATGAGTGAGCAGGAAGCTAGGGAAGTGAACAGCCAGGAGGAGGAAGAAGAGGAGCTCTTGAGGAAAGCCATTGCTGAAAGCCTGAATGTAAATATGCCATGTTGCAAAAGTTTGTGGAGATTGATCAGCAGTATTGTAGACTTCTGTGGTGTCGTAGTTGCATTAGGAACTAGCTGTAGTCATTTATAGGGTTTTCACCTAATAGAAATTCCCATAGTAATTTTTTAAAGTCTGTGTTGAATTGTTGGTTAACCCAATTTGAAGTGTTTTGTTAATTCGATATGAAAGAGTTTTCTTCCACCCATGGATTTTTTAGTTCATGGTTGAAAAGAATTATCATAAGTTAACAGCTTCTGAAAAGACTTACTGAATACCAAGAACCCAAAAGGCAGCAAGATAAGATGCTAACTTCTCCTGTTTTGTGGGAGAGCAAAGGGGATGAGAACCAGAGGTGGGTTATGGGAAGAAAGAATGGGCAGTTTTTAAAAAATAATCAAATAAAGTTAAATTGTCATTTGAATATGCACAACTGAATTTTTTTTTTTTTTTTTTGAGATGGAGTCTCACTCTGTTGCCCAGGCTGGAGTGCAGTCTCAGCTCACTGCAACCTCCGCCTCCTGGGTTCAAGCAATTCTCCTGCCTCAGCCTCCCAAGTAGCTGGGATTATAGGCGACCACCACCACACCCAGCTAATTTTTTGTATTCTCAATAGAGACGGGGTTTCACCATGTTGGCAAGGCTGGTCTGGAACTCCCGACCTCAGGTGATCCACCTGCCTCGGCCTCCCAAAGTGCTGGGATTACAAGCATTAGCCACCTCGCCCAGCCTGAAATGATTTTAAATGTGAAGGATACTTGCCAGTGGTAGGTCCTGAACCATCTTTTATGCTATTTGCCTCCCTATTTTAAAAAAGGGTTTAGTATAGCAATCTAGTACAACACTTTGCACATAGACATTCAGTATATGTTGTGAAATTAAATTGAGCCATCTACATTTTGGAGAAGAGAAATTCTTATGAACAGTGGCCTCCCATTTTGTCCTTCCTGTGACCCTTCATATATAGTTATTTTAATAATAAACCTGGTCTGGTATGGGATCACTTGTTTCAGAGTTGCCGGCCTTCTGATGCTTCTGCTACCAGATCTCGACCTCTGGCCACTGGACCATCTTCCCAGTCCCACCAAGAGAAAACCACAGACTCTGGGATCACTGAAGGCATGTCTCCCTGTTCTGACTCCTTCCATTCATCAAGTATAACTGTACCACAGGGATCTCATGCTGAGAGTAAATATACGGAAGTACCCCAGGTCCTTTTGGTGATAATAAATAAGTTAAATCAGGAAGTAGTTAAGATCATAAGAATATCCAGCATACTTTTATTTCCAAGGAAAAAACCAACATTTGGTTAAACCCAAAGAAGAGCCTTTCTTACCCATATTATGTAATTCTTGGTAAGTGATAGCTTACCAAGCCCTCTTAATAAAAAAGTTTGTCCTTAGCCCTACTTTTTCTCAAATACCTACAGGCATATGGCAGCTGGTACCTCCATCACTGTTTAAAGGCTCACATATCAGTCAGGGAAACGAGGCTGAGGAAAGAGAGGAGCCTTGGGACCACACTGAAAAAACTGAAGAGGAGCCGGTCTCTGGCAGCTCAGGAAGCTGGGACCAGTCGAGCCAGCCAGTGTTTGAGAATGTGAACGTTAAATCTTTTGACAGATGTACTGGCCACTTGGCTGAGCACACACAGTGTGGGAAGCCACAGGAAAGTACTGGGAGGGGTTCTTTTCTCAGAGCTGCCCAGGGTAGCGGGGACACATCTAGGCACTGTCTGCCTACCCTAGCAGATGCCAAAGGTCTCCAGGACATTGGGGGCACTGTGAACTACTTCTGGGGTATTCCATTCTGCCCTGATGGAGTAGACCCTAACCAGTATACCAAGGTCATTCTCTGCCAGTTGGAGGTTTATCAAAAGAGCCTGAAAATGGCTCAGAGGCAGCTCTTAAAAAAAAAAGATTTTGGGGAACCAGTGTTACCTAGACCTCCTTCTCTGATCCAGAATGAATGTGGCCAAGGAGAGCAGGCTAGTGAAAAAAATGAATGCATCTCAGAAGATATGGGAGATGAAGACAAAGAGGAGAGGCAGGAGTCTAGGGCATCTGACTGGCACTCAAAAACCAAGGATTTCCAGGAAAGCTCAATTAAAAGCTTGAAAGAGAAACTTTTGTTGGAGGAAGAACCAACAACCAGTCATGGTCAGGTAAGGGTCAGTGATGCTGTAATTAAGGATGATTTATTCACAGATTAAAACAAGGATTATTTTAGCTATCTGTTATTTTTGTGGTCTTCCCCTCCTTGATTATTAAAGTAATACATGTTCACTGTAGAAAATTAGGAAAGTACAGGAGAATATAAAGAAGAAAAAAACTACCATTTCTTTTTTTTTTGAGTTGGAGTCTCGCTCTGTCGCCTAGGCGCGATCTTCGGCTCACTGCAACCTCCACCTCCCAGGTTCAAGCAATTGTCCTGCCTCAGCCTCCTGAGTAGCTGCGATTACAGGCACCTGCCATTATGCCGGCTCATTTTTGTATTTTTAGTAGAGATGGAGTTTTACCATGTTGGCTAGGCTGGTCTTGAACTCCTGACCTTGTGATCTGCACGCTTCAGCCTCCCAAAATGTTGGGATTACAGGCATGAGCCGCCACACCTGACCAGTCATCATTATTTCTATGCATACAAAAATACGTTAACAATTTTTTTGAACAAAATGAAGACTCTTCTGTATAAGTTTTGTTCCTCCCCCTACTTTATAGTTTATCTTAGATCAGTTCTTAATATATGACATATTCTACCATAGATACACCATAATTTATTTTTTGTTTAAATTTTTTCTTTTGAAGACAAGGTCTCGCTCTGTCACCCAGGCTAGAGTGCACCAGTGCCATCTTGGGTCCTTGCAGCCTCCACCTCTGGGCTCAAGCGATCCCCCAACCTCAGCCCCTTGCAGTAGCTGGGACCACAGGTGCACGCTGCCAGGCTGAGCTAATTTTTATATTTTTTGTAGAGATGGGGTTTCACCTTGTTGCCCAGGCTGTTCTCGAACTCCTGTACTCAAGTCATCCACCCACCTTGGTCTCCTAAAGTGCTGGCAATATAGGCATGAGCCAACACGCCTGGTGTAAAAAAAAAATTTTTTTTTTTGAGATGGATGCATTTTATTGACCTTTTCGTAGAATTGTTGGGTTTTTTTTTTTTTTTTTTTTTTTGAGATGGAGTCTCGCTCTGTTGCCCAGGCTGGAGTGCAGTGGCATGATCTCTGCTCACTGTAAGCTCCGCCTCCCAGGTTCACGCCATTCTCCTGCCTCAGCCTGCCGAGTAGCTGGGACTACAGGCGCCCGCCACCACGCCCGGCTAATTTTTTGTAGTTTTAGTAGAGATGGGGTTTCACCGTGTTAGCCAGGATGGTCTTGATCTCCTGACCTCGTGATCTGCCCGCCTTGGCCTCCCAAAGTGTTGGGATTACAGGCGTGAGTCACCGCGCCCAGCGTAAAAATTTTTATTATTTCTAAAAAGTTAAATTTTTGAATAGGTAACAATATTCACAAGGCTCAAAATTCAAAAATACGTAAGTAAAAAGTCTTAACTTTTCTCACTATCACCCAGCCAGCCAGTTCCCCTCTCTGGACTCAATTTGTGTTACTAGTTCTAGCATATCCTTCCAAGATACTTTATCTGGTACAAGCAGAATACATATTCTTTTCCCTACCTTCTTTTACACAAATGATTTACACATTATTTTCTACTTTTTTCATTTAATATCCTACTGAGATCATTACATAACAGTATATAAAGAATTTCTTTATCTTTTTTTTTTGGATGTGAAAAATACCATATATGGATTTGTCAGAGTTTACTATTACAAATAGTAAAATGTCCAGAAGACATTTCATCCACATGGAAGATATTTGTATTATATGATAATTTTCTGTAACTCTAATTGGTGGACCAAAAAATGTATTTGTAATTTCATTAGCTGTTGCCAAATTGCCCTCCATAGAGATCATGTACGTTTACCTTCCCACTGGCAGTGTATGAATACTAGTTTGTGCATACCCACAGTAATGCAGTATTGTCAGACTTCGTGATCTTTGCCAGTCTTGAGAGATGAAAAATGGCGTCTCAGTATAGTCTTAATTTGCATATCTCTTACTATTTGTGAGCCTGAACTTTTTTCTCACATGTCTAAGACCCATTTGTATTTACTTTTTTGTCTGTTAGATCTTAATGATCATTTTTCTTTTTTGATAATCTGTTGATTTGTGGATACTTTTTATATTGTAGAGAAAGTAGTCCTTTGTGGTATGAAGTGTAAGGATAGTTTCCCAGTTATTTTTTCCCACTGCATAATGGTGTATATTTCTTATTTTGCTTGTAGTGGTTTTGAATAATTTATTGAAACCAATCTTCTTTTTGGTATGTTTAGTTTGCTTTTTCTGACGTAGCTTGATTATATTGTATATGAAAGCTTATCTCTTATTTTTCCCTTTGAATATTATAAAAGCAATAATATAAACTCTTTATATATATATTGTAATTTTAAAGAGTATTCTGTTTTATGACTATACTGTTTTTTCTTGTTATTTCTGTTACCAGACTTTGACTTTTGGTTTTGTTTTATTATTGTGTTATTCTGTCTTTCTTGTGTTATGATAAAGGTTCAAGAAATGGTAACTTTGAGGAGCTTCATAGAATAGAGAACATGGATTTGGAGTTGACTTCTGATTTTTGTGTTTAAGTAATTTGTGTGTTTTTGAGCAAGTCAGTTAACCTGTTTGAATCCCAGTTTTACATCTATAAAATGAGAATAACAATTCCTATCTTTTGACTGTTACTTTAATGATTGAAGTGAATTTGTGTAAAATGTCTACTACAATGCTTAGGAGTTTATAGGCACTGAACAACTGGTAATTCTCTCTAAGGGATCGAAGGTCATTCACTGGGGGATGCCTCTAGGAATCATTATTTCCTAGTAACCATCTTCATTCACATTCTGGAAAGATTGTTGTCTGGGAAGAGAAGGCATTTTTATTTTTTTAATTTTTTTTTTTTTCCCGAAGGTATATCAGCGAAGAAGCCATTTTTAAGAAATAGTTCTTTTAGTGACTGGCTTCTTTTCCAAAGGAAAGTTACATGATGCTTATGATAAATGTTCAGTTTGTTCTTTCCAATTCAGAGATGCTGTTTCTTAAAATAATACATTAACTCCAAAGAGTGACACTTAATAATTTATTATAATTCAAGTTGTTAGCTTGAAAGATCCCAGGGGCCAGAGCTCTAGATCATAGACTTGTGTCAAGTTCTGTGTTGTGTCAAGTTTGAAGGTAGTGCCTTTGCAGTAGCCTGGAAGTAGTCAAAATCTAGTGGATGGTCTTAATTAGATTGAAGTTCTTTGACTCTTAACTTCATGACCAGGCCACCAAGTACTACAGGTAGTATTATCAGTTGGTACTATTTGCTACAGTAAACTGAATTAAGCTAGCTTAATTAAAAAGAGGACTGGGCTAGGCATAATGGCTAATGCCTGTAATCCCAACACTTTGGGAAGCTGAGGCAGGAGAATTCATTTGAGTTTGGGAGTTTGAGACCAACCTAGGCAACATAGTGAGACCTCGTCTCTACTAAAATACATAAATTAAGGAAACGGGGTATCTCAGAAGTTTTTTTTTTTTTTTTTTTTTTGAGATGGAGTCTCGCTCTGTCACCCAGGCTGGAGTGCAGTGGTGCAGTCTTGGCTCACTGCAAACTTTGCCTCCCGGGTTCATGCCATTCTTCTGCCTCAGCCTCCCGAGTAGCTGGGACTACAAGTGCCTGCCACCACACCCGGCCAATTTTTTTGTGTTTTTAGTAGAGACGGGGTTTCACCATGTTAGCCAGGATGATCTCGATCTCCTGACCTCGTGATCCGCCCACCTCGGCCTCCCAAAGTGCTGGGATTACAGGCGTGAGCCACTGCGTCTGGCCTCAGAAGTTTTAAAATAGAACTATAACCAGGCCCAAAGAAGGTACCCGGCATCTGTGAGTTTTCTGTATCTCATGGTTATATTGTATCTGCTTCATTTTTCTCCCTGCAGACTTAGCATTCTTTGCTTTTGTTTTTCAGGTGCAGGTTGAAGACACTGATCTTATAGCTCTCAAAACTTATTACAGGTTACAGGAGACTTAATCTCTCCCAATTCCAATTTTAAATTTTCAGGAAAGGATTTATGGCCTATTTGGTATCAGTAGCCTAGTCAGCTGTGGCCTGAAGGAAGTTACTTGTCAAATTGGCTGTGAGCCCACTGCTAGTGGGATGGGAGGGGTGAGGGACAGTCCTCAGTGAAAGGAGACAAAGCAGACAACCTAGTAAGTGTATGGACATTAACTTTAATTTTAGAAATCACTTGGAGATGTTAAAAAATGCTGAAAAGTTTAAAGAGTATTACCTATTTTTTGTATGGTTCAGATCATATTATTTAACATTATGTAAACATTTTCTTATGTTAAATTATATATTTTACTTTTAATGGCTATATCATATTTCAGTTTATGAATTTACCATAATATTTTAAACATTTTTCTATTGCTGGATATTTCAGTTGTGATATCTTTCTACATGAAACTTTTCTTTATTCCTGATCAGTGTACTTAGGCATAAGAGCCAGAAAAATGATGGGTTAAAGAGTTACGAACATAAAGACTTGATATTTATTGCCAAATTGCTTGTCAGAAAGGCTATTAAAATTTGTATTCTCTCCATTTGGCAATGTATGAGAATATCTAGTTCACTGCAACCTTGCCAACAAGTAATTGTACCTTTAAAAAACAAACTTACTAATTTTATAGGCAAATAATGAAAGTCTTATGATTGTTATTTTACCTCTCGATCTTTTGCTTTCAGGAAATGTGGGTAGAAAGAATTCATTTGTTAAACATTCTCTATTGAACACAGCTTTGCTGGAGCTGCCTGTATTTGAGACTTCTTGGTTGATAGAGATAGCAGGAGAGTCTCAAAAATAGGGACTCAGAAAAACATTCACTTTGAGGCACATGACTTAGTCTATATGAAGGTTTATAAAGCTTTAGAATCAAGATGATAACTGGTTTTTGACATCACTGAGACAAGATAAAGTTGCTAATGAAGGCCTATAGATCACCCTGAGAGCATTATGGCAAGGAGTTGGAAGGGGTAGTATGTTGATGTGATTACTACTTTGCAGAATCTGATTCTTAATTTTTCAGTCAGGATAGTGGAATTTTTTAAATCAGAAATGACCAGATTGTGTGGAGTTGTAAAAACTGACTTTGATTTGCCAAACTTCACGCTGATGTATGTATACAAAATGACAATTTATTAATTTATTATGGAATAGAGACATTTTCAGTGACCAGAATACTCAGATCTGTATCTACTGTCTTCTAGAATGACAGTATCTGGAGGGTTGAAATAATCAGAAAATGGAATTTTTTAAGGGATGACTCAACTAGTCTGTGGAAAAACCTAATAAACTACCACTGTCACACAATAGAGGACATTTATGTGATGACCAGATGATGTCTCTATTCATTTTCACTTTTTTTTTTTTTTTTTTAAAGATGGAGTTTCACTCTGTCACCCAGGCTGGAGTGCAGTGACATGATCTCGGCTCTCTGCAACCTCCACCTCCTGGGTTCAAGCGATTTCCTGCCTCAGCCTCCTGAGTAGCTGGGATCACAGGCATGCACCACCACGCCTGGCTATTTTTTGTATTTTTTGTAGAGACGGGGTTTCACCATGTTGACCAGTCTGGTCTTGAACTCCTGGCCTCTAGTCATCCGCCCACCTTGGCCTCCCAAAGTTCTCAGGTTACAGATGTGATCCACTCTGCCCAGCCCCAATTTCACTTTTAAGTATTAAAAATACCCTTTGATAATAATTCTTTGAATTTTTTTTTTTTTAAAGATTCAATGCAAACCATCCCTTCCTTATTAACGTATTTCTTCAGGAAGAAGATGTCTTGATTAGGCCACAGATTCCTTGAATTTTTATTTCTGCCATGCTTTCCTGTTCACCTTGATTACATTTGGGTAGTCTAAATTTTATTTGCTTATTTTGCTATCCTATGTTCATATTCTGGAAGAACCGCACTTTATGTTCATATTACTGCCATTGAGGTATAAATTTCTAAATTAAAATAATGTTTTGAAATGAAGACATTCTTGGGATTCTACATTGAAATGATTAGGAAGAGGATTATCTGATTAAGCAATATAATAGTAGTTTTGAGTGCATGGGTTTTAGAGTCAGGCAAGTCTCAGCTCTACGATTTTGACCAACTATATGATTTGGGGCAAATTGTTTAACTTCTCGAAGTTTCACTTATTTTTAAAATAATTTAATGGTTTTTGCTTCTTAAGTGGCTTGTGAAAATTAAAGGAGATAAGGAATGTAAAGTGATTAGCACAGGCCTGGCACTGAATAGAAGCACAATAATTTTGTTTGTTTGAGACAGTTTCGCTCGTCACCCAGGCTGGAGTGCAGTGGCGCGATCTCGGCTCACTGCAACCTCTACCTTCTGGGTTCAAGTGATTCTCCTGTCTCAGCCTCCCGAGTAGCTGGGATTAGAGACGTGAGCCACCACGCCCGGCTAATTTTGTATTTGTAGTAGAGACGGGCTTTCTCCATGTTGGTCAGGCTGGTCTTGAACTGCTGACCTCAGGTGATCCGCCTGCCTCGGCCTCTCAAATGCTGGGATTACAGGCGTGAGCCACTGCACCTGGCCAAAGCACAATAATTTTTTAAAACAATTACACTGAGAAGATTTGAGATATGCTTTAGCCTAAGGCAGAGATGGAGGTGCCTTATAACTAACTTACTGGTGTCTTGATTGCATCTAAAGACCAAGGCTAGTCATTATAAAATTTTATTAAATGGACACTAGGTGTCAGCATTTCCTTCCTTCCTTCCTTCCTTCCTTCCTTCCTCCCTTCCTCCCTTCCTCCCTTCCTCCCTTCCTCCCTTCCTCCTTTCCTCCCTTCCTCCCTTCCCTTCCCTTCCTTCCCTTCCTTTCCTTCCTTTCCTTTCCTTCTCTTCTTTCCTTTCTTTCTTTCTTTTCTTTCTTTCTTTCTTTCTTTCTTTCTTTCTTTCTTTCTTTCTTTCTTTCTTTCTTTCTTTCTTTCCTGTCTTTCTTTCTTTCTCTTTCTTTCTTTCTTTCTTTCTTTCTTTCTTTCTTTCTTTCTTTCTTTCTTTCTCTTTCTTTTCAATAAAAACCTTGTCACCCCTGAGTTTTTCAAAGGAAGAGACAGGTTAAGTATTTATTGCTGTTGTATTTTAGTCCTTTGGTAGTTGGGTTAAGTCTTATTTTTCATAATGACTATATTCCATATTGTACAACTTTCCTTTTGACTGAAAACTCATCTATTCCTGATTTTTAAGTGTATTTCATCATTTACCTGAATGGTAACGAGATTCATAGAGAGATAACCTAACTTGTTTAGGTTATTTATATCTTATTAGGAAACCTTGAAAACTTCAGCTGATAGCTTAATGTCTAGTGGAAGAAGCCTCACAGCCCAGGCACTTCCTCAGAAGTCTGCCTAAGGCAGCAGTAGCTGCTTTTTCGGTGATCTTCTGTGCATGTATGTTTAATGAGTTGGTATTTGCACCAACTCTACCATTAATCAATGAAAATAATTTTTGAATCAATGAGAATAATCTTTCCTTATATAGTCCCTATTCATTACATTTCTGAAAAGATAATCCTGTAGCCAGATATAAAAACCATAGTGGCAGATTTGTAGCAAAAAGAATCTTTATAACCTTCCCTTTAGATGTCCTATGTTATGGCTTGGTTTTTCTCAAAGATCATGGATTGCAGTGTTTATCTCAACTCAGTATTTCCTTTGAAAATTGGACTTTTCTCTATATTTTTCTTTCCCCCTGCACAAAATTTTCGATTGTTTTTCTGAAATCATAATTCATTTGACTTACCAATTAATATTGATATAGGTCTTGCATTTTATGAAGTGCATTGCATGCATTATCTTGTTTAATTTTCACGACACTCTGTGAGACAATTGTTAATACCCATTTTAAGATGAGGAAAGAGATTCAGATGTCACTTACCCAATCACAAAGTTAGTAAGTGATTTAGTTCTGATTTAAATACCAGTCTTCTGACTTTATAGGATGTGCCTGTTTTACTGAAATTTACTGGCTTATGGAAAATATTTTCTTCTTATTGTTAATTGTTGAGAGAGAACGTTGAACAATTAATTTTTTTTAAAAAAGGAAGAGAAGCCAGTTCACCTGCGCCTGTATATTTAAGATACTATGTATTTCTTTGCAGTCTTCCCAAGGGGTTGTTGAAGAAACTTCTGAAGAGGGAAACTCTGTACCTGCTTCGCAAAGGTGAGAGATTATATGTTGCTATGAATTCTCTCCTCTGATGGTTGCCAGCATAAGGGAGATGAACCACGTGAGTGAGACTGTACATGGACAGCTTGCCAGAGAACTTGTAGCGCTTTTATAAATGAAGACTAGGAGAAATTTTATTAGTATCTCTAAGTTCTCAGATGTGCATTTCATAGAAGCCCAGAATATTAAGAGCTGGAAGAGATCCTAGAGGTTATCTTGTCCAGGCCAGCTATCTTGGCGTAAATCTTATTTACATTATTCCTGAAAAATGGTCACATCTTGCTATTCTTTTAACTAATTACACTAGTTTTTATGCTAATTTGAAGGCTCTAGACTGATTTCTTTATAGTCCTTCTATTCTTAGCCCCTTTCTCTCTTTTCCCCAACTCTGCTTATGCTTATTTTGTCTGTATATCTAAACCTTATATGTCTTTTAAATTTACTCTTGAGACTTATACATCCTCTTTGAAGTTTTCGTATTATTCGGGCCACACAGGACCTGCATCACTCTCACTGTCTGTTCTGTGCCACTTTTAATCTGTTTGTGCCTCCTATCTCCTGTAAAGGATTGTATTTGCATTACCTCCTCCGTTGTTCTTGCTGATTGATTGAGGGCTTACCTTGTAAGTCTTCTTACTTTAATAATAAATAGCAATTGATTAATTATAAACTGCACTATTAACTGGATCATGCTTCCAGTTACTTTCTTTTTTTTTTTTTTTTTTTGAGACGGAGTCTTGCTCTGTCACCCAGGCTGGAGTGCAGTGGCCAGATCTCAGCTCACTGCAAGCTCCGCCTCCCGGGTTCACGCCATTCTCCTGCCTCAGCCTCCGGAGTAGCTGGGACTACAGGCGCCCACCACCTCGCCCGGCTAGTTTTTTTGTATTTTTTAGTAGAGACGGGGTTTCACCGGGTTAGCCAGGATGGTCTCGATCTCCTGACCTCGTGATCCGCCCGTCTCAGCCTCCCAAAGTGCTGGGATTACAGGCTTGAGCCACCGCGCCTGGCACTTCCAGTTACTTTCTGCTTGCCCTTTTTATCTGGTAGTTGAGTTTGAAACTTTCTCAAGAGTTTAACTTTGAACTGCATGACTGTGTTCTCCCGTATGAGAGTTGAAGCCCAATTGCCATTTGCTGTAGTCAAGGTGGCGGTCTTTCTTAGGCGTCTGGTTGATAGTACTTGGTATTCCTTCCTGGGCTAAAGAATATGGCTTTGGTTTGATTTTCCTGCTGTTAAGACAGTTTTGGAAGTGGTTTTAACAGAGTAGGCCTTCTACTCCCCATAGGCCTCTCTGCTTTATTGTGGTGAGCCTTGTGCAGAGCAGATGTAGGTTTTAATAAATGATTATACACTTTGTCACCAGGAGAGAGTTGGAATCGCAGGCAATGTGGTTTGACTTCAAATTGATTAGCCCATTTTATAAATGTCAGAAAATTGTTTTGTGATGGACCCTTTGAATAGAGCACTAATGTTACATGCAGAGTAAACTATGTCTGGCTTGGGTTTATAACAAATGCTATGAGATGTTTTATTTAGGGAGAAATCACTTGTGGTTTTTTATCAGGAGTTAGTTATTTATCATGAGTTCAGTTCTAGCTATTCTTTTTGTGGTTCTTGGTTGATGTGAGGATTTTTGTTTTTAAGCACTCTTGCATACTTGATCATATAATGATAAAGCCCTGTGAAGCATGAGGGGGCTAGCTCAGATGCTCAGATCAGCCATGTGTTCCTATGTCAGGCAGAGATTGCACTCCATGAGCAGTCAGGGAAAACCAGAAGGTTGGATGAAGGAAGCCATTTATAATTAAGTTGTTGTTAGAAAAGAGATTCAATTTCTGTGGGCAGATTTTTGCTGTAGGGCAGTTTGGAATTGTATTTTATTTTTGTTGCATGGAAAGCAACATCTTGAGATAAAGAGGAAATTTAACTGCAAAAGGAGGAGAAAGTTAGTGTGTTGTCAGAAGAATCTCTGTGTCTTCTCTTGTGAGTTCACAAATCTCTAGCCTTCAGAAGGCTGAGATGGAGTCTATAAAACACCTTTGACATCCTTACGTTGGAGTGGAGTTTTTGTCTTCTGTGATATTCACAGACAGTTCTTACCCTTCGACCTTCCTTTGTGAAAAACTCCAAAAGGGAATTTGTTTTCATTCAGTGATTTCACTGGAACTGAAGTTTCAGTAAGCGTATTTATTTTCCATATTTCTGGCCTACAGTTTTCAGTACTGATTCCTTGCTTTCCTGTTGTGCTTTTGTGGCATTAGGCAGCAAGTATCTGTGATTACCTGTGGCTTTGTGAGTGACTCACCATTGCTTTTGGCTCTATGTTCTGATTTATTTTACTGGGAATTCATTTGGGATTTGGTTCTCTTTTAGTGTTGCTCCTTTGACCAGTAAGAGAAGCTTAGTCCTTGTGCCAGAGAGTTCTGCAGAAGAAATCACTGTTTGTCCTGGTAAGTACCCCACTGTGATTTTACTGAATTTCTGATACCTATCTACCTTCTCATGCCTATTAATTTTCCTCTGACTCTTCAAAACTCCTCTCTGGAGGTTTATATGTAATTGATACGTGTATGTACATATCTCCACACTCGTATACATATATACATATAGGTGTTTTTAATGGCCATTGGCTTTTATTCTCAATCTTTTCTCTCCTTAGGGGTAATTTAGTTTTGAAATTAACATGACTTTTTTGTCTCCTTGATTGTTGACAGGCCTCATCAGAGATGGCATCGAAGCATCAGGAATAGCACTTACTTAACTCTACATTCAGAGCCTTTTGTTACTTAATTTGTTTAAATTATTTTAAATTAAATTGTTTTAAATTATTCTGTCACCCAGCTTGGAGTGCAGTGGTACAATCATAGTTCACTGCAGCCTTGAACTTCGGGGCTTAAGTAATTCTCCCTCCTTGGCCTCCCAAAGTGCTGGGATTACAGATGTGAGCCACTGTGCCTGGACTTCAGAGCTTTTTAGTAGTTAGTTTTTGTATTGCCATTTGTTGGGGTCTTACTGCACAGGAGGTCCAGAAATTGAGTTTTGTGTATGTTCTGTCATTATTTTTAATCTTAGACCTAAGATGCTTAACCTTGTTAAGTGCTTTAGTTTGCTTTTTGTTAATTGTAAAAATTAAAAGATATGTACGTTGTTTTAGGCAGAAGAGATGCTTATTCAAAGTTGTACATGGATAGATTTAGATATACAAAATAATGTAAAATGAACTAAGATACTTACCATCTAAGGGAATTCCTGAATCATTGTATAGTATGAAGCATTATTTTGTGATATGAACTACTACTTTGTAAGGAATTTGTTTTAGACTATATTTTCCGTTCTGGCTTTTCTGAAAAGATCATTAGCCTCATTCCTGTGAGATTGAGGGGCTTCCTACTGGTGTTTAACTTTGAACAGCAAGTATACAGATGTTGCGATAAGTCACGTCTGGTTTTCCTCAGGTCTCATGTAGCCTATAAGGATTGGAGATAATCATAGTTTTCTTATTTTGGTTTTCTTCAATGTTTATCCACACAGACTCAAACTTAGTTTGTATGTAATCTAGGAAAGACCCATAAATATTTTTAAACATCTGGCAGTCTATCATAAAGGTCTTTATTTATTTTAAGATTGAACTGTGTTGGCTTTTTTTTTTCGAGACAGAGTCTTGCCCAGGCTGGAGTGCAGTGGCGCAATCATGACTCACCGACTGTAACCTTGAACTCCTTGGCTCAAATGATCCTCCCTCCTCAGCCTCCTGAGTAGCTAGGACTACAGGCATGTGCCGCCACACCTAACTAATTTTTAAAATTATTATTATTATTATTTTTTAGTAGAGACGAGGTCTTGCTGTGTTTCTCAGGCTGGCCTTAAACTCCCGAGCTCAAGCAATCCTCCCGCTTTGGCTTTCTAAAGTGCTGGGGATTATAGGCATGAACCATTGTGCTTAACCTATGTTGGTTTTTATTGAAAGTGACTCCTTAATTCATTTGAAATGTATTTGGATTACTGCCTAACAATACCCACTAAGAGACTACACTACCAAGTGCTCAGATTTTGGCAGGAGCACTCAAGAATGCTGTGCCACCTTTGTGAAAAGAAAGCTTTCCCCCCTCTCTGGGACTACTGACTTCCTAGAAGGAAATCACTCAGTCTGTTTAGGATGATGGTGTGTGACATCACCATGGGATCTTGTAGGAGGAACCTGCAAATGTATTGATCTTGAAAGGCCTAGTTAATGAGAGGGAAAGCAGGTCCTTCATACTGAGGTTAGATAGCTTTTATGATCATGACTTGCTGTCATTAGCCTGCTAATTAAGTCCAACTGTTTGCTGACATAAACCACGTCTAAATGAGATTGCAAAAGGTATTCATTACATTAATGTTCTTTTGCTGAGAAAGTATAACTACTTCACCATGAAGCAAAACTCTTGGGTTTCTTTTTAAATATATAATTTAGAAGTTATATATATAAATTGTCTGAAAAAATTTGTTCCAAATGTGTGAAACACATATTTAGTGTAGTAGTCTGTTACCTGTTCCTATTTACTTTTGTTTCGTATTTCTGACAGTTCAGGAGTCTAATATTTAAGATTACAGTATTTTTTTAGTGTTGCTTAGTTGAAGAAGCAAGATTATAGCCTTATGCCCACATTTTGCATACTTTTAGCATTGCTTATTTCTGAGAAGCTAATGCCCTCTTAGTTGGACATTTCAGCCATTCACAGAAAGTATAATTGAAGACTTTTTATTATTGCAGTAATCTAAGCAGTGAATGGTTCTTATTTTTAAATATACTGAATGTCTTTTTGAAAATACCTTTAGGGAAAGTTGACAGAGAGGATTTTGAAGTTTATGTGCTGTAAGCCTTTTTCCAATAAGGTGGGGTGTGTGTGTGTGTGTGTGTGTGTGTGTGTGTGTGTGTCCAGTTTTCAAAAAAATTGGTGATGTATTAAAATATAGTTAATTCTGGAAATGTATTTAATCCTTTCTTAAAGATTCAGAAGATACATTAGAAGCTTGCAGATGCTCTATTTGCCTAACACTGGCCATTTACTGTATTTGTGAGGCACAAAAGTGCCAGTTAGAGGTACATCAGGTATAGTGTCAGATAACAGAGAACTTACTGGATTTGCATTCTGAGATAAATTTCTGGTTTTAGTTTGGGTTCCTGTAACAAAATATTCTAGACTGAGTGGGTTATAAGCAACATAAATTTATTTCTCACAGTTCTGGGGGCTGGAGAGTCCAAGATCAAGGAGTTGGCAGATTCAGTGTCTGGTGAGAGCCGTAGATAGCAGCTTCCTGCTGTGTCCTCACATGGTGGAAAGAGGGTGAGAGCTCTCTGGAGTCCCTTATAAAAGGGCATTAATCCCATTCTTTTTTTTTTTTTTTTTTTTTTTTGAGACGGAGTCTCACGCTGTTGCCCAGGCTGGAGTGCAGTGGCGCGATCTCGGCTCACTGCAAGCTCCGTCTCCCGGGTTCCCGCCATTCTCCTGCCTCAGCCTCCTGAGTAGCTGGGACTACAGGCGCCCGCCACCGCACCCGGCTAATTTTTTGTATTTTTAGTAGAGACGGGGTTTCACTGTGGTCTCGATCTCCTGACCTTGTGATCCGCCCGCCTCGGCCTCCCAAAGTGCTGGGATTACAGGCTTGAGCCACCGCGCCCGGCCAATCCCATTCTTTTGAGGGAAGGCCCTATGCTCATGACCTGATTACCTTCCAGAGGTCCCATTTCCTAATATTATCTATCACATTAGGGGTTGGGATTTCAACATATGAAGTTGGGGAGGTACACAAACATTCAGTCTGTAACTGTCTTTTCCAGATACATTGGTGGTTTTGAAAGATAATTACAATTTTTTTTTGTTGTTATATTAAGTGATATGTGTCTATAGCAGAAGTTGGCAAACTTTTTTTTTTTTTTAAGACAGGGTCTCAGTCTGTAACTCAGGCTAGAGTGCAGTGGTGTGATCATAGCTCATTACAACCTTGAACTCCTGGCCTCAAGTGATCGTCCCACTTCATCTTCCCAAAGCATTGGGATTGCAGGCATGAACGACTATGTTCAGCCAAACTTTTTAAAAATAAAAGACTAGATAGGAAATATTTTAGGCCCTATGGGCCATAGAGTCTGTTGAGACTATTTGGTTCTGGCATTTTAGTGCAAAAACAGCCATAGACAGTATATAGATGAATGAGCATGGCTGTGTTCTAATAAAACCTTACTTACAAAAATAGGCAGCTGACAGGATTTGGCCCAAGAGCTGTATCTAGTTTTCTGGCCCCTGAACTAGACTACAAGGGACCCCATCTTACATTTTCATATTACTGGTGGCTAGTATAAAGCCTGGGACTTGATGTTCAATTAATATTTGTTGAATTAATAGATGCTGCTTAAAGAATATATTAAAGAAAGGCTCATCTTTGTCTGGAATGTATATTCTATTTCTGGTCTCAATTTCTGTTTTTGCTTATCATCTCTTTAACCTCAGCACTAACATTGGCAGGTTCTTGTTTTCTGTCAAATCAATATACTTTAAAACTAGAATTACAGTGGAAATAAGCCAATCGATCAATTGATCAACGAATAAACAAATTGTGATATATCTATACAATGGAATGCTACTCAGCAGTAAAAAGTATGAACTAGCGATATTATGTGACAACATGGGTCCATCTCAGACACATTATACTAAGTGAAAGAAGCTGGATGCAAAAGACCTGTGATTCTATTTATATGACATTCTAGAAAAGACAAAATTATAGGAACATAAAGTCAGCTGGTCATTGTAAAGAGTTCATTGCAGTGACTGGAGTGGTAGGAGATTGACTGCAGAGGGGTACAGAGAACTTTTTGGGGTGTTGGAAATGTTTTATATCTTGATTATGGTAGAGGTTACATGGTATAAATGGTAGTATATAAAGGGTATACATTTGTCAAAACACATTAAACTGATACTGAAAATTTATGAATTCTGTTATTTGTAAATTATGCCTCAGTAAAGCTTTAAGAAGAAACAAACTAGATCTATTAATATATTGCCACCACAGTATTATCATATCCTAAACTTTAGGGGAAAATAGGCACGTTTGTTTTTTTAACTACGAAAACGCAAAATGAAAATTAATGGGATTTTAACTTTTTTAAATTACAGAGACACAACTAAGTTCCTCTGAAACTTTTGACCTTGAAAGAGAAGTCTCTCCAGGTAGCAGAGAGATCTTGGATGGAGTCAGAATAATAATGACAGATAAGGAGGTGAATATTTTCCTCTCTATTTTTTCTCAGTGGTTTCTTTCTGTTGGCAGTCCTCTCTCTGATGCAATGTTGACATTGGCTGAAAAGATTTAGATGGCAGGGGTTTTAGTTTTGGGGGCACTTATGTCAGGGAGATTTTTTTTTTTTTTAGACGGAGTCTCGCTCTGTTGCCCAGGCTGGAGTGAGTGAAGTGGCACAATCTCCGCTCACTGCAAGCTCTGCCTCCCAGGTTCATGCCATTCTCCTGCCTCAGCCTCCCGAGTAGCTGGGACTACAGGCGCCCACCAGTACGCCCGGCTAATTTTTTTGTATTTATAGTAGAGATGGGGTTTCACAGTGTTCGCCAGGATGGTCTCGATCTCCTGACCTCGTGATCTGCCTGCCTCAGCCTCCCAAAGTGCTGGGATTACAGGCGTGAGCCACCGGGCCCGGCCTGGGAGAGATTTTTATAGTTAAGATTAGTTCAGCATTGTTTCTAAAAATAACAGTAGTTACCATTTCTTGAGTACTTTTGTATGCATTATTATTTCTATTAGAGATGGGGAAACAGAGGCTTAGGATGTTTAATTTACTCTAAATCATGCTACTAATAATGATAGAAATAGAATTTGAACATGGGTTGGAGTCCAAAGTTCTAGGGCATTTTTTATTATGTACCAATAAGTAACAGAGACAAACAGTCTTGGAAAAAATTACTGTGTTTATATTATGATGTATACATAACTTTCAGCCCTAATTTGATCAGAAATGCAAAGTCAAGATAGCTGTCTGATCTATTTGCGTCATTATCTTTCCTCACTTTACATATCTGGCAGTAACCATAAAACTGATTGATACAAAAGTTCATACTTCTGATTGAGATTCTCGGTGTGTATATTTTTCTTTTTCTTTTCTTTTTATTTTTTCTCTTTTTTGGGATGGAGTTTCGCTCTGTCGCCCAGGCTAGAGAGCAGTGGCACAATCTCGGCTCACTGCAACCTCTGCCTCCCCGGTTCAAGTGGTTCTCATGCCTGAGCCTCCCGAGTAGCTAGTATTATAGGTGCACGATGCCATGCTCAGCTAATTTTTGTATATTTAGTAGAGAGGGTTTTGCCACGTTGGCCAGGCTGGTATTGAACTCCTGACCTCAAGTGGTCTGCCCACCTCAGCCTCCCAAAGTGCTGGGATTACAGGCATGAGCCACCGTGCTTGGTCCTTGGTGTGTATTTTTAATGTTGAGTCTAACAAAACAGTTTAACTACCTGGAATTCCTTTAAAAATTTTAAAATCTTAAAAATCTGTTGCTGTCATGAGCCGCCTGAGAGCCAAATTCCTCAGTAGAAATAAAGATTTTGGTTACATTGGTGTATACTTTCTTATCCGGTGCACCTTAAGAAAGGTTCCTTTTTGGCTGGGCGCAGTGGCTTGTGCCTGTAATCCCAGCACTTTGGGAGGCTGAGGCAGGTGGATCACAACGTCAAGAGATTGAAACCATCCTGGCCAACATGGTGAAACCCTGTCTGTACTGAAAATACAAAAATTAGCTGGGCGTGGTGGTACGCACCTGTAGTCTCAGCTACTCTGGAGGCTGAGGCAGGAGAATGGCTTGAACCCGGGAGTTGGAGGTTGCAGTGAGCCGAGATCGTGCCACTGCACTCCAGCCTGGCGACAGAGCAAGACTCCATCTCAAAAAAAAAAAAAAAAAAAAAAGAAAGGTTCCTTTTTATACTTTGGGATTTTTGTTTGTTTGTTTGTTTTTTTCCTCCTTGAGACAAAGTCTTGCTCTTGTCTCCCAGGCTGGAGTACAGTGGTACGATCTCGGCTCACCGCAATCTCTGCCTCGTGGGTTTAAGTGATTCTCATGCCTCAGCCTCCCGAGTAGCTGGGAGGCTGGCCCACCAGCCTGGCCCACCACCATGCCCAGCTAATTTTTGTATTTTAGTAGAGATGGGGTTTTACCATGTTGGCCAGGCTGGTCTCAAACTCCTGACCTCAGGTGATCCACCTGCCTAGGCCTCCCAAAGTGCTGGGATTACAGGCATGAGCCACCGTGTCCAGCCTGGAATTTTTAAAAAATAATTTTTACAGTAGAAGTTAGATCCTTTCCCTGGTCTCTGCACTGCAGGCAACTGGGTAAAAATTCTGCCTTCATGAATCATGCACACTGCCTGGTTCTCTGGAACCTGATCTGTCACAATTGACAGACCAAGATTCCCTGATGCCAGTGGTGGTAGGAAAGACGATGACACTCCCTGCTGCAGAATGACTGAGGACAGATCCTGCTCCATAATGTCAAAATGGCCTCTGGATGGTTTTCTCAGGAAGAAACAGAATCTTCTAAATGGGAATGAGGGAACAGAGTATTATTACCATAGTCATCCTAACATACAGAAGAAGCCCTTAGTTAAGGCCAATTTCATACCCGTCCATGACTGCAAACCAGACTATTCTTTGTTTGGGTCAAAGAGCATGAACCCTGTTTAGAATTTGTGGTGAACATGTCTGTGCTACTACACATCAAATAGATGGAATCATGTAGCCTTTCTCCCATTGAATGTCCTCTTTTTGGTATTGCTGTTTGCTGAAGTCTGTGGATGTCCCTAAATAGTCTTAGAAGTTTTCATTAAAATAAGTTAGAGATACTGCAGATTTTAAATCATGTACTAGTTACAAGTCACTTATTAGACAGAATGGAACACTTTATGTGCACAAAGATAGTATAGTATAAAGGGTGTGGACTCTTGCCATTGGGATCTATGTGGGTCATTTGTCCTAAAATTTCTTGTTTACTGGAAGGTAGTATGGTGTAGTACAAGTAGCTTGAGCATTGCAATTAGAAGACATGGCTTTAAATCCCAACTCCACCATGTTTTGAATGTTGTGCAAATTAATCGTTTTATTCATTCACTAGGCAGCTATTTATAGTTTGTATACTTTGTGCCAGTCATTGTTTTAGACTCTTGGGATACAAAGATAAATAAGAAAAACAGTCCCTGCACTGAGGGTTCTGGTAAGAGAGGAGACAGACATATACACAGATAATTATAATGTGGTCTGACAAAGGTAATGATAGATTCCTAGGACATTAGGGAAGCACAGAAGAGAAATGCCTTCCTGAATTTCAGTTCTTCATATGTAAAATGGAGGCAGAATACCTATTTTATTAGGTTGCTTTGCAGGTGAAATTAGATAAAGAATGTAAAACATGTAGCAGAGATTTGTCACAAGTAGAAGTATCATGTGGAAAGTCATATTATTTTACTGCTTTGTAATATATTACTGTTTATATTAGTTTACTAATGACAGAGAATTGCTCAATAGTATTTGAGGTATTTGGAAATACCCATGGCACAACTGTATGTAGTCCCTCTTGATTTCTGACAATAGTCAGCCTTCTTTGGAAATAGTGTTTTCTGAGTATCTTGCCTGAGAGTTTTCCTTTGTTGGAGTCTTAAATAGTCTCTTCTCAGAAGAGCTAACAGAAGTTATTCAGAGTCCTCCAGAGCTAGTTTAGTCAGTAAATTTTTCTTTTTTTTTTTTTTTTTGAGGCGGAGTCTTCACTCTGTCGCCCAGGCTGGAGTGCAGTGGCACCATCTCGGCTCACTGCAAGCTCCGCCTCCCGGGTTCGCACCATTCTCCTGCCTCAGCCTCCGGAGTAGCTGGGACTACAGGCGCCCGCCACCGCGCCCGGCTAATTTTTTGTATTTTAGTAGAGACGGGGTTTCACCGTGTTAGCCAGGATGGTCTCGATCTACTGACCTCGTGATCCGCCCGCCTCGGCCTCCCAAAGTGCAGGGATTACAGGCGTGAGCCACCGCGCCCGGCCTAGTCAGTAAATTTTTAAGTAAACTATGTTAAGAGTTGTGTGGTAGGAAGGGGAAGATCCAGAACAAGGAGGTTTCTAAGCTACACATAATTGGGTAGGGGAGGGATGGAGAGTTTGGTGATTTGCAGGACATGCTTTTGTTTTCACTGGGTTCATTTCTTAGAGTGAGGTGTGTTTTTTTTTTTTTTTTTTTTTTTTTTTTTTGAAGTCTGAAGTTAAGGACCAACAACCTTTAAGATGTCAGTATTCAGTATCTAAGTACCTCTTTTAAAAAATAGTTGTATAATTTTTTTTTTTTTTTTTTTTTGAGATGGAGCCTTGCTCTGTCGCCCAGGCTGGAGTGCAGTGGCCTGGTCTTGGCTCAGTGCAAGCTCCGCCTCCTGGGTTCACGCCGTTCTCCTGCCTCAGCCTCCAGAGTAGCTGGGACTACAGGCGCCCACCACCACACCCGGCTAATTTTTTGTATTTTTAGTAGAGACAGGGTTTCACCGTGTTAGCCAGGATGGTCTCCATCTCCTGACTTTGAGATCCACCTGCCTTGACCTCCCAAAGTGCTGGGATTACAGGTGCGAGCCACCGCGCCCAGCCGAAAAATAGTTCTATAATATTTTAAAAGAAGTAAAAGCAACTCTGCAAAGAAATCCCTGACTGCATGGTCCTAATAAAAGCTACTTTGCTTGCCTTTTTCCCCCTTGAGGTTCTTCCATAGTAGTTAATACTTAAATAGACTTTTTAAATGATGCTGGGAAATATACCTTATTTTAACATTAAAAAAAAAAAACACCCTGCAGGTTAGGAAACCTTCAGGGTTGCCTAAGAACAGTGGTTGGAAGTGGTCTCATATTCGTAATAAGACAATAGACTACTCCCTCTTGAATACATTAATAGTTAAAGGTACATTCTCTGCATTGTATAGAGCTGTGATGAATACAATGGAGTATAGTGCTCAATGTGAGCACCAGTGACACATTTGTGTCACATAACATTTCTGTGCTTAGTGAGCTTTAGAATGCCAAGTAACTGCTCATTCGCCACTGACTTTAAGTAATTCAAGACTACTTGCAAATTTTAGGGTATATTGATCCCCTCTTACCCTCCTGCCATCCTTCTGCTCAAATAGCTTTGCTATTTTTCTTTTCTTTTCTTTTTTTTTTTTTTTTTTTTTGAGACTGGGTCTTCTTTGTTGCCCAGGATGGAGTGCAGTGGTAGGATCTCAACTCACTGCAATCTCCACCTCCTGGGTTCAAACGATTCTCCTGCCTCAGCCACCTGAATAGCTGGGACTACAGACATGCACCACCACCCCTGGCTAATTTTTGTATTTTCAGTAGAGATGGGATTTTGCCATGTTAGCCAGGCTGGTCTCGAACTCTTGACCTCAAGTGATCCGTTTGGCTTGGCCTCCCAAGGTGCTGGGATTACAAGCGTGAGCCACTGTGCTTATTTTTTCTTTCTTTTTTTCTTTTCTTTCTTTTTTTTTTTTTGGAGACAGAGTTTTGCTCTGTCACCCAAGCTGCAGTGCAGTGGTGCGATCTCGGCTCACCGCAGCCTCTGCATCCCGGGTTTAAGCGATTCTCCTGCCTTAGCCTCCTGAATAGCTAGGATTACAGGTATGCACCACCACACCCAGCTAATTTTTGTATTTTCAGTAGAGATGGGGTTTCGCTGTGTTGGCCAGGGTGGTCTTGAACTCCTGGCCTCATGTGATCTGCCCACCTTGGCCTCCAAAGTGCTGGGATTACAGGTGTGAGCCACCGTGCCTGTCCAGCTTTGCAGTTTTTCAAGCTTTACAACTTTTCTTTTTAAGATTTATGAACAGAGGAACCTGGATTTGTGAGAAGCTTAGTGATTAAATCTGAAAAACATAGCACCTAGAACTTCCAGACCCACTTGACTTTCCCCACTTTCTAGAGAAGAAGAATAAATAGATCCTTGCAGAATCTGCTTCCAGAAACAAGGTGGAATGGAAGGGAGGTTTTTTGTTTCTGCCACAACATGATAGAATGGAATTACTGAAGGTTTTGATGCCCAGTGGGTCTAGGTTTGAGCCTGGATAATTCACTTACTAACTTGGTGACCAGCAGGTTACTTTGCTTTCCCAAGCCTCAGTTTCCCCTTCTGTAACAGCAGAGTTAGTGATACTTCTGTCCAGTGGCTTGTTGGGAGGGATGGATATGAAAAATGACTGGTGGAGCCTGCATAGTATAAGAACTCAACCACTGTTAGTTCCTTTCTCATCTTAGGTTTAACAAAAGGCAGGTGGTGTTGAAAACAGGAGATTTTCTGGCAGTTTGACTTGGTATTTAGATGGCCTGTTTTCCTCTCTGCTGGTTCACACTTGTAAGCATTAGGTTTTAGAGATAGCCCCAACTCCTGACCCCAAAAGACCCAATTGACTCTAGTCCAGTTTTCTATGCATTGAAGTTTTGGTCGTGTTTTGTTCTTGTATCAGAAGATATTTTATTTGTTTTCCCCAGGTGTAATGACAGCCCGGGTGTCCCTTGCTTTAAATGTAAGCAGTAGCTATGCAGGACATTTTCACATTGATTGGATAGGACATGCTGTCCTTTGAAGCAAGTGTTAGGCAGTAGTGCTGCAGTGCTCACGCACACTGTTGAATTAATCACTGCAGAGTTCTTGGCTCTGATCAACCTGTGCAGGTAAAATAAAACTGCCTTTAAGAGACACCAGCAACTGTAAGAGAAATGATGACTACAAAACAGAGAGGAATAAGAGAGAGAGGTTTAAGAGTGGCTTTGGCAGAATTGATTGTTTTAACTAATGACTTCTTTGGTGCTTCTTAAGTATATAGATCTTAGTTTCCTCTTTCTTTTTTTTTTTGAGACGGAGTCTTGCGCTGTCGCCCAGGCTGGATGCAGTGGTGCAATCTCTGCTTACTGCAAGCTCCGCCTCCAGGTTCACACCATTCTCCTGCCTCAGCCTCCCGAGTAGCTGGGACTACAGGCGCCCGCCACCACGCCTGGCTAATTTTTTGTATTTTTAGTAGAGTTGGGGTTTCATCGCTTTAGCCAGGATGGTCTTGATCTTCTGACCTCATGATCCACCCGCCTCTGCCTCCCAAAGTGCTGGGATTACAGGCGTGAGCCAGTGCGCCAGCCTTAGTTTCCTCTTTCAATCCAGAAAGTCACAAATAAAACACAGGTCTTAGGTCTTAGGGGTCTAAGTACATACTTACGTTCTTAACTTAAATCCTAGTTATGCTGTTTTTGGCTTAGAGCTCTTTTGTTTGGTAACTCCTTATGTCTTAAAGTCACTTACAGTAATAACGGTCCTTTTGTGAAATTGAAAATGTGTCCTTAAGGTGCTGTTGATATGCAGAATGTGAAACCCAGCAGGCACAGCACACTGATGCAGTGAGGATTGTGCCTTACAATGTGATAGAGATCAGTGCCCTCAAGTTTTTGAGCCAGATACTAGTCCTTCATTTGAATCTCAACTCTCCCGCTTACTTGTTCTGTGACTTTGCAAATTGCTTTACTGTTTTACACAAGTACTTTTCTCATGTGTAAAAAAAGAGTGTGCTAATAACTTTGTAAGATTAAATGAGTAATACATATAGTGTTTAATACATAGTTGACAGTATAAGTATACTTATATATATATAAACAATATATAAACTTACATATAAAAGAGTAATATGTATAGAGTGTTTAATACATAGTTGGCAGTATAAGGAACTGAATAAGTATTAACTCTATCAGTAGTATCTCTCAGTCTTTACTCTTTGATAAGTAAAATTTGATAAGCTGTTGTCTCTTTGAAAGTAAGTGAAATATGGGGTGGAGTCTCTTGCACTTCTTTGGGGGGAAAGATATGAACTAAAGCTGTTATAATTGCTGTTTGTCATGTTCTTCAGGTTGGTAACAAGGAAGATGCTAAGAAGGAAGTACCTATTTCTATCTTCTCATCCAGTAACCAGGTATCCTGCCCGCTATGTAACCAAAGCTTTCCACCCACAAAGATTGAACGACATGCCATGTACTGCAATGGTCTGATGGGAGAAGATACAGGTAAAGACCCACCGGGACAGCCAAACTCTTACTTTTTTGTGTAGTGGTTTTATAATCCTATACAGTACAATGCAGGGAAAAAACAGATAGCTATTCAAAGTTAGAGTTGTTACGGTTTTGGGTTTTTTCTATCTAGTTATTTTTCTAGTACTTTTATGTTCATCATTACTTTTGGCAGGTATTTTGTCTTGTTACACATACCTCAGGAGAAGGGGAAGGGAAAAGTTTTTCATTTTTTAAGTTTTTGTTTGTTTGTTTGTTTTGTTTGTTTTTTTGAGACAGAGTCTCTCTCTCTGTCACCCACGCTGGATTGCAGTGGCACAATCTTGGCTTTCTGCAACCTCCACCTCCCAGGTAAATGATTCTCTTGCCTTAGCCTCCCAAGTAGCTGGGACTACAGGCTTGCGCCACCATGCCTGGCTAATTTTTTTTGTACTTTTTTTTTCCCATAGAGGCAGGATTTCACCATGTTGGCCAGGCTGCTGTTGAACTTGTGACCTCAAGTGATCCTCTTGCTTTGGCCTCCCAAAGTGCTGGGATTAGAGGTGTGAGCCACTGCACCTGGCCCATCTTTTAACATATTAACTTACATAGATAGGCTAAAAATCAGTGCATTGCAATGGACCTTGCATTTCAACTTATGTGTTCAAATATTGAGATTTCTGTGGAACTTGAGGAACTAAGTTCTAGAGTTGCCCATTTTTCATTCAAAATAAATCCCTTGTAGGTTTTTTTCCTCTTTTTGTAGTGTGTTTTAATAGAAATTCTACCTAAAGACAGCAGCTGAAAAATACCGCTAATTTACATTCATGTCCTACATATCTCTGCTGAGTTATCCAGGAGCTGTTGGTTTAATCTCGGTTTAATCTCTTTAAGAGTATACCAAAGGCCGGGTGCGGTGGTTCATGCCTGTAATCCCCAACACTTTGGGAGACTGAGGCGGGTAGGTCACCTGAGGTCAGAAGTTCAAGACCAGCCTGGCCAAAATGGTGAAACCCTGTCTCTACTAAAAATACAAAAAATTAGCCAAGCGTGGTGGCGGTCTCCTGTGATCCCAGCTACTCAGAAGGCTGAGGCAGGAGAATCATTTGAACCCCGGAGGCAGAGGTTGCAATGAGCCGAGATTGCGCCATTGCACTCCAGCCTGGGCAACAAGAGTGATACTTTGTCTCAAAAAAAAAGAAAAAAAAGGTCTGTACCAAAATCCCTAGTTTTCAGACAGCATTAAGACATTGATCAAGAAAATCGTGTTAATCATAGCCCTTGAAATACCACCTCTGATTTGGCCTTTCTGTTTATGATTTTAAACTCTAAATATAGTCACGTCAGCACAGCTCTCTGTGGTCTAACATGCTGAATGTAAACCTAGGTAACTGGAAGTGTTGTAGTGTTCTTCTCAATGCTACTTGATTCCTGTAACTTAGATGTATTTAAATGTGACATTGTATAATTGTGAAGTGTTTTTTAAATTAAGATTGCCAGAGAGGCAAGGCACATGTTATTTACTTTTCTTGAAATAATATACTTTGTAGTTATTAAATAAGGAAGTACATAAACACTTAATTTGTTGATTTTTCTGATTATAAAGTAGTACATGTTCATTGTAATAATAATGGCTTACATTTATTGAATACTTAAAATTAGGCACTATTTATGTAAATGGGACCATGCTATATATAGCTGTCTCTATATATTATTCTGCAACTTATCATTTTTATTTAGCAGTAAATTTAGCTCTTTCCATGTGCAGATAAATTTTTGACATAGTTGAGGTTTGACTGTATATAAAATTTTATATTCTGCTTTTTCTATTTATAGCATAAATATTTCATCATGTCACAAAATTATTTATAAAAATATTTTTAATGCCTACATAATATTTGGTAACTGGGATTGCTTTCATTTACTTAATTATACATATTTGAAATGCTTCAAGTTACTGTGTTATAATCACACTGTACTGAGCCTCTTAGCCTAAAGTTGTCACTGTATTTTGGGATTATTTCCCAAGGATATGTTCCCATATAGGGTGGTAGTAAGAAAAGATAGGCCCTGGAAGGCCAGTCAATTTGAGCTTGAGTCCCACCTCTGTTACTGACTTACTAATGTGTGACCCTGTGCTAATTTCCAAGCTTCCATTTATGCATCTGTGAAATAATAATAATTACCTTGTTCAGATTTTGTGAGGTTAAATGAGATACTTTAAGGAAAGTACTTAACACAGTACCTAGCGCACAGTAAGTACATAAGAACTATTAGCTGTTGTTACTATTCCCAGTAGTGAAATTACTGTGTCAGAGATTTTTTTTAAGGGTCTCTATGCATAGCATTGTAGTCCCTAAAAACAGTGAAAGTTGAGGACCTGAATCTGGCCATCAACCACTTTTAGTGGGACAGCACTGAAGGATTGGAATCTAGATGCAGTTTTAATTTGAAAAAGCTCTTTAGTCTGATTTTTTTTTTTTTTTTGCTGAGTATTCCAGTGACTAAAAGAATTCTGGGATTGAGCATTTCAAAGGAAAGAGACTATCTTGTCTGTCTTACTAAGCACTTACACAGCTGGTATTGGGTATCTGAGTCAATGACTTATTCAACACAACATCAGGGTCCAGAAATAAATGAGTTTGAGAAACTGAATGCCCTGTTGAGCTCTAGGAATAGATGATCTCCTTCAGGTCAGAATGATCTGGTAAGGAGTAGTATAGGATAGCTTCTACTGACATCTGCCATACTGAATTCCACTAGTTGGTGCTAAAATAGGAAGCTTTGGCATTCATAACTGTCAGATATCTTTTAATTACAAGATAATTGCTGTTAAGCCTGTTCTTCCTTACTGGAGTGTGGTGAGAGAACTCAAACTCACATCCCCAAATCCTTGTGGTTGAAATTGATTCAGGCTTGTTCCTGAATTTTCTCAAACCAATTTTCAGACTTATGCTACTAGAACCAGGCCATTTAGGTGGGCAAAGTAGACTGAGTCTTATCATCATCATGATCCATTCAGGGAGGACATTTCAGGTTCTCCTTGTTCTGTTGGGTCCAGGATCAGTGACCCTGTCTAATGCTGTTCAATTGGATTTACACTCTGGGTATTGCAGACTTTCAGACATGATAGATGTAAATGTGATTTTTGATACAATAAAAAGTCCCTATATTCTTGGCATCATATGTCTTTATAGCTTTGATGCAAATACCCCAGACCTCCATGTAAAGATGTCTGCTATATCCTGAATGACAGGCACACTTTCTTTTTCATAGGGAAATTTGTTATAAAACTAGTTTAGAAAACCAATCTAGAATATAGTCATGTGTTGCTCAGTGATAGGGATGTGTTCTGAGAAACGTGTCATTAAGTGATTTTGTTGTGCAAATATCGTAGAGTGAGTGTACTTACACAAACCTTGATGGTGTAGTCTACTACACACCTATGCTATAAGGTATAGCCTGTTATCTTGGGCTACAAACCTGTACAGTGTGTTACTGTACTGAACACTGGTCACTTGTAACACAATGGTATTTGTGTATCTAAACACATCTAAACACAGAAAAGGTATAGTAAAAATATGGTATTATAATTTTATGGCACCACCATCATATAGATGGTCCGCATTGTTAGCTGAAATGTCTTTTTGTGGCGCATGACTGTACTACATCCTTCTTTTCAATGCTGACGTGTCTACATAGAGCCAGAAGTTTGATTCTTTTTTATCACCTATTCATATTTACCTTTAATTCATCCAGATATTTGGAACTTTTTTTTTTTTTTTTTTTTTTTTTTTTGAGACAGGGTCTCACTCTGTCACCCAGGCTGGATTACAATGGTGAGATTATAGCTCACTGCAACCTCTGCCTTCTGGGCTCCAGCAATTCTCCAACCTCAGCCTCATGAGTAGCTGCGACTCTGGGCACACACCATCCCACCTGGCTAGATTTTTTATATCTTCTTTTGTAGAGACGAAGTCTCACCATGTTGCCCAGGCTGGTCTTGAACTCCTGGGCTCAAACAGGCATCCCACCTTGGCCTCCTAAAGTGCTGGGATTACAGACGTGAGCCATCCTTGCCTGGCGTGACTTTTTTTTTTTAAGTGGTGCTAGGCCTTATGAAGCTTACTAAAGAAGTTTTGGCCGGGCGCGGTGGCTCAAGCCTGTAATCCCAGCACTTTGGGAGGCCGAGACGGGCGGATCACGAGGTCAGGAGATCGAGACCATACTGGGTAACACAGTGAAACCCCGTCTCTACTAAAAATACAAAAAAAAACTTAGCCGGGCGAGGTGGCGGGCGCCTGTAGTCCCAGCTACTCGGGAGGCTGAGGCAGGAGAATGGCGGGAACCCGGGAGGCAGTGCTTGCAGTGAGCTGAGATCCGGCCACTGCACTCCAGCCTGGGTGACAGAGCGAGACTCCGTCTCAAAAAAAAAAAAAAAAAAAAAGAAGTTTTAAGATTTCTGCCTTCAAGGAGCTTGCATCAATGGTGAAATAAGCATTTCCCCAATAAATTAATTACAAGAGGACACAAGTGAATAATTGTGTACCCAAGTAAATGTCCCTGACAATGGGAGAGAGGAGAGCTGCAGTGAACAAGGATGAGTTCCCAGAAAGGGTGGGCTTAGCCTTGGCTGTGCAGGCTGGTTAGGTCTGGATAAACCCATAGCAAGGTAGAGGGCCCTTTCCCCTCCTGTGGGTTTAGGTAAGAAGTGAGGGAAATGGCCACTAAACAATAGCTTCGTCTTAATCTTCCTAAGAGAACTCTCTGTTGATTTTTCAGGCCCTGCGAGAGGGAGTAGGGTGACCTCACTGGAACCATTCCACTCTCTGCATGTTCCTCTACTTTCCTGGGAACACAGCTTGGGGGTGTAGGTGGGTTGGGGAAGTAGAGGAATTATGCAGAGCACCTGCTAGTGTACTTGGTGTACAATAGGTACTCAGTACGTTTGATCTCTTTTCTTGGTTTCCCCACCAGCTTGTCTGCCCTGTCTTCCTTGCCAGAGACAGAAGTTAGTGATTGTGCTGGTTCTTCTTAGCTTTATATGACTGGATACAGAGGCCAGTCTCCCAACCTGGTTTTTAAATCTTTTGTAAAAGGAAGCTTTTTTTTTTTTTTTTTTTTATACTGTGGAAGGAAAGGAGTAATTTCCACCCCGTTTTTTTGAGACAGGGTCTTACTCTGTAGCCCAGGCTGGAGTACAGTGGTGGAATCATGGCTCACTGCAGCCTCGACCTCCCAGGCTCAAGTGATCCTTCTGCCTCAGCCTCCCAAGTAGCTGGGACCACAGGTGCATGCCACCACACCTGGCTAATTTTTTAGTTTTTGTAGAGATGGAGTCTTTTTATGCTGCTTAGGCTGGTCTTGAACTCCTAGGCTCAATTGATTCTCCTGCTTTGGCCTCCCAAAGTGCTGGGATTATAGGCCTAAACCACCATGCCTGGCAAGTTACTTTTCTTGAAGACACAGAAGCCAGACTGGGAGACTATTAGCCCAATGCCTAAGGGGTGGAGTAAGAGAGGACTTAACCTTCCAGTATTAAGTATCTAGCTTTTCACTCCTTCCTGTCTTCCCCTGAAGGGGATCCTCGATATGCTTGGTTTGGCTGTGTAAAAGAAATAGCAATTAGAATCATTTACATAAAGTGTCTGCTATTTATGCCTACTTACCATGCAGCACAATAACAATTATGCATATCATTAATATATGTCTGACTAATTTTGCTGTAAGTTTTGATTATAATACTACACACTAGTTAAGTTGGCTCAGTCTACTCAGTTTTTTGCTCAATGACGTTGTCTATTCAGAACTACGAAAAATTAGAGGGGATGCTTTTTTTATTTTTGAGACGGAGTCTCGCTCTGTCACCCAGGCTGGAGTGCAGTGGCACGATCTTGGCTTCTGCAAGCTCTTCCTTCCAGGTTCATGCCATTCTTCTGCCTCAGCCTCCCAAGTAGCTGGGACTACGCGCGCCTGCTACCACGCTCGGCTAATTTTTATATTTTTAGTAGAGACGGGGTTTCACCGTGTTAGCCAGGATGGTCTCGATCTGCTGACCTCATGATCCACCCACCTCGGCCTCCCACAGTGCTGGGATTCCAGGTGTGAGCCACCTCGCCGGACCAAGGGAGTGCTCTTTAAAGGTACTGTTTGAGGGGAGAAGATTGACTGAGTTGATCTAGACTAGAACAAATGCACATTGCCTTTGCATTTACTTTCTGGAAAATGTATCTAAGGCCAATTGTGTTAAACACCTAGGGAGAATAAAATCCCCCATTTACTCATTCAGTACATATTTATTATATACTTACTATATAACAGATACAGTGAGCAGAATATACAATTAACAGAATATAAGTCCCTGTTCTCATGGAGCTTATATTCTAGTAGTGGGAGGCAGACAAGAAAACAATAAATATACAATATTTCAAGTGGTGATAAGTACTTTAGAGAAAAAAATAAAGCAGAGGGAGAGGGGAATAGGCCATACTGAGGTCAGAAGTTAGCAATATAAAATAGGTGATCAGGGAAGGTCTCCTTGAGAAGAGAAGATGGCATTTGAACAGGGACCTAGAGTAAGTGAGGTAGTAAACTAAGAAGATTGTGAGGTGGGGAGAGTGCTACAGGTAGAAGGAACAATAAATGCAAAAACCCTGAGGTGTGAACAGGTTGAGTGTGGCTGGATTAGAGTAAGTGAGGGAGAGATAAACAGTGAAACCAGTGAGGTAATGGGGGAGGAGTGCAGATGGACAGATCACAGGGTTCTTAGGCCATAATAAGGACTTTGGCTTTTCCTTGAGCAAGGGAGGAACCACTGGAGGGACTTGAGCAAAGAAGTAATCAATATTTAAGCAAAGGATCACTCCACTCTGTCTGCTACTATGTGGACAGTAGATTATTGGGTTGTGGGACAAAGGTGGAAGCTGGGAAGATAGAGTCAACATTTTGTTTTTGGCTCTTTGATAAAGTAGAAGAAATGCAGGTTTTGGAACTAGGCAGCTCAGCTGTAATATTTCCTAATTGGCTAATATTTGACAAGTTATCTCTTTCAGGACAGGTTCCTCTTTTGTAAAATTAGTATCAGGATTGCCATGAGAATCACAGACACTTAGTAAAGTACCAGGCGTTGTGACTAGCATGTAATAGGTATGCAATAAATGATGGCTGTATTATTATTGACTGTGCTTTCCTGTCTGTGTAATCTTTCTGAGGTCTGTGTTTCTGTATGATGACGGGACAAAGGATAAGCCACTAGTTGAGTAGAACTAAGAGAAAGAAGAAAGGCAAGACATAAGAGTCAAAGGGGTAAGAATAAGTTAGGGAGAAATAGATTATAGGAGAGTTAGGGAAGCTGAAGGCATTAACTATATACACTTTGACTCTAGATAGAGGATGTGGCTTAGAGTTAGGATACTGCTAGGAGTGGACTTTCTCTTCAGGGATATTGCCTGGAAAAATAATGGTAGATGGGTGAGTAGGTAGGAGGAGGTAGAAATTCTTATTATAGATATGCCTGAGAGTTAACAGAGAAGGACCAAGGCCTAAAATAGGCTTGACTTGGGTGACTAAGAGAAAATGTGTAAGACCTCAGTATCTCTAAGTAAAACTTATTTCTTAAATTAGACAAAGTTGGGACTTTTTCTGTTCTATATATGCCTATCTAAATGTAATTTGTACCCTGTCCAGTCTTCTCGCTTATATTAACGTGGCCTTTGTGGTACCCAGGAATTAAGTATATTGCTGTATTGCTACTGGTACCTAGCTACTGAGGTATTGACAATTGTGAAATAGCATAGGTTTTGTAGAAGTAATACGGATTTTGGGGACAGACTGACCTGTGGGGATATATACAAATCAAATATGGGCCCTGATCTCACTGACATTTCAGTTCAATTAGGTAGATAAGACATGCACATGCATAACTGTAATGCAAGGTCAGAACTACTAAGGGACATACAAATAAAAATACTGTGGTGTTTCAGAGGAAGTACAGTTAGAGATTGAGAGGGAAGGGTATTAATGTAAGAGAACAATAGGCTAAAATTACAAATAGAAAAATGTGAAGAGAGTGTATAGGAAAGAACAAGCACTTCAGTGTGGTTATAGTGTGGGCATTATGAAAGGAACGGTAGGCAGTTGGAGAATGACAAATGTAACTTGAATCTTGTGGGTTAACATTTATATGAATTATGTGGGTTAACATTATGGAACAGCATTTTTTTTCAACTCTAAAAAAATTATTGGTGTGTGTTAATAATTATTTGTGTGTTTACTCCTATTGTAGTATATAGGACTCTTTTGGATGCAGGTGTTGAAAATATGATTTCAGTAGTTGGAAATATGATTTCAGTAACCTTAAGCAAAAAAAAAAGTTAATCTGTATAATAATTGGCAAGTCTGTTTAGAGGTTAGGCTGAGCTGGATCTGGGAGCTCAGACAATATCTCTCCATCTTGGAATCCAGTGGTCTCCATTCAACAGATGGCCTCTTCTTAAGGGACAAGCAAAATGGCTGCCAGTAGCCATAGCTTTTTTTTTTTTTTTTTTGAGGCCAAGTCTGGCTCTGTGGCCCAGGCTGGAGTGCAGTGGCTCGATCTCGGCTCACTGCAAGCTCTGCCTCCCGGTTTCACGCCATTCTCCTGCCTCAGCCTCCCGAGTAGCTGGGACCATAGGCGCCCACCACCGTGCCCGGCTAAATTTTTGTATTTTGTAGTAGAGACGGGGTTTCATCGTGTTAGCCAGGATGGTCTCGATCTCCTGACCTCGTGATCCGCCCACCTCGGCCTCCCAAAGTGCTGGGATTACAGGCGTGAGCCACCGCGTCCGGCCGCCATAGCTTTTAATGGAAAGAAATAATTTTTTCCCCCCTCAGACCATAGGTTAGTCTAGAGGAAGACTCTGATAGGCCTTTCTTGATTGAAGTGTCCACTTATGGTGTAGTCACTGTAACCAAGTAGATGGGTATGTATTACTTACAAGTCAGAACAAGTAAAGGAAAACTCTTTCACTAACTATGAGAAATTCTGTTAGTATCTTAGAAAATTCTGTCAGTCACAATAACAGAAAACATCATTAACAGTGAGTTTAACACGTGGGATTTCTTTCTCCTCACATCACAAGTCCAGAGTGAGGCAGTGGCTCGTTGATGTAATTGAGGATCAGGCTTTTGCCTTTGGCACTACAATCATAAACTTGTGGCTTGATTCACCGTTTCAGGATACCCATTGCATCTCTAGGCTTTGAATGTATGTTTGAGGCAGGAAGATGGAGAAAAAGGTAAAGGGACATGACTGCTGATTCTGACTCCTTTGATCTAACACTCATTCCTGCATTCTCATGGAATTTGAGCTTATTCTAAATTATGGTTGAATTAAGGCAGTTCTAAATTTAGTGTTTGTTCATACCTCTTAAGTGTTTATATATCTTGTATATAAAATTATGTTATCTCTAAAGTCATTGATTAATTGCTTTTTGTAGTGGTTCAGCTTAAGACTTTTTCATATCCTGCTGTTAGTGAAATATTGTGCTGGATGCTGAGGGTGAGGAGGAGCGGCCCAAAAGACCCAAAAGATGGTAAGGGATATATTACAGAGCTGAATCGAATCTCAAATTTGTACTCAGAGAGTTTACAGTCCAGCAAGGGAAACAGACTTGGGTATGACTATGTATAATACAACTCAGTCAAAGTGCTAAACTGTAAGCACTAACCACCCGCAAAGGAAGGTATTAAATTTGATTGGTGGAATAAGGGAGGGCTTCTTACTTAATTGTTCCCCTAATATTGAGCATGGCTTTTTTCTTAACCTATTTTTTTTTTCTGTTAAAGATAAGCATCTAGGGCCAGTCATGGTTGCTCACACCTGTAATCCAAGCACATTAGGATGCTGAGGTGGGAGGATCAATTAAAGCCAGGAGTTCAAGACCAGCCTGAGCAACACAGGGAGACACTATCTCTACCAAAAATAAAAAATTAGCTTTGTGTGGTAGTACATTCCTGTAGTCCCAGCTACTTGGTAGGCTGAGGTGGGAAGATCGCTTGAGCCCAGAAGTTGGAGGCTGCAGTGAGCTGTGATTGCACCAGTCCACTCTAGCCTGAGTGACTGAGCAAGACCCTGTCTCAAAAAAGAAAAAAGAAAAAAAAAAATCTAAACTAGCAATGAGCCTTGTAATGTAGTACTTTAATCTGGATTACTAAAAGTGGAATTACTAGATTATATTTATAAAGCTACCAGTAATTTATGAGAGCATTCCTTTTGTCTCCAAATACTGAGGGATATTCTTTAAAAAAAAGTATGGCATAGTAATAGATAGTAACCAATGACATTTCATTGTACTTTGTTTCTTTGGTTAGTAGTGAAGTTGACATTTTTTGTTTTTAAAAAAATCAATTTATATTTATTTGAAGAATTATTCTCTGAAGTTTGCCTCTGTGTCTGTTGGGATCTCAGTATTGTTCTTATCAGTTTATACAAGTTCTTTATAAATGATTTACTTTTTGCCTCAGAGGTGCTTTCCAGGGTTTGTTTGACTCACCCATCAGTTCTCACAAAGTTTCCAGATTTATGCAGACTGGGCCAGCAGCCCCCTTCTTGCGTGAGCACTGCCAAAGCTTTTATTTCTTGAAATAGAAGCAGTGCTGATCCTGCAGAAAGATCTAATCGGTGTGAACAGAAGTGGCACTGATGTAGGGAAAAGGGTATTCAAATCCATGTAGAATTAAGAGGATGGGTGGGCAGCAAGTAGAAAGGAAAAAGAATTCATTGACTCCATGCTGTTCCATTCCTGTTTAAAAAAAAAAAGAAAAAATTCATTGCTATTGCTGACTGGATGAAGAAGCTAGAGATAGAAGGAAGAGGAGGTGGGGCCTGGTCACGGGGGGTCAGCAGGGGCTGGATGCCCAAAGTGTTATGTTTAAAGGAACTGGGATGTATCTCCAGAGCAACTGGGAATTTAAAAACATACCTCTTCCACTAAATATGAAAGTAATAGAAATGAAACCAACAAGTGAAATACATATATTTTTCTATATTCTTTCTGGTAGGTTGCAAGAACAAGCACTTTCCCTCCCAGTATTGGGATTCTGCTGATATGTATCTGGGATTCTGCTGATGTCTGTCCGTCTGTCTGTCTATCTATCTATATCTGTCTCCTGTATTTATATTTGTCCCCCCCAGAATTACATCATAAGCATCATCTAACATGCTGTTCGAAATTATTTATATTCATGACATTGCGTATAGTTTTTAACTTTCACAAATAATACAAAATGTACTTAGTTGTTTTTCCTTGTTGTGGGAATATTTTTTGACAGAGGAAACCAAAGTGACAGGAGCAGCTTATAAAACAAAACGCAAAGACATTTAAGAAAGGATGTTTTGCGGCCGGGCGCGGTGGCTCACGCCTGTAATACCAGCACTTGGGGAGGCCGAGGCGGGCGGATCACAAGGTCAGGACATCGAGACCATGCTGGCTAATATGGTGAAACCCCATCTCTACTAAAAATACAAAAAATTAGCTGGGCATGGTGGCAGGCGCCTGTGGTCCCAGCTGCTCGGAAGCCTGAGGCAGGAGAATGGCGTAAACCCAGGAGGCGGAGCTTGCAGTGAGCCGAGATCAGGCCACTGCACTCCAGCCTGGGCAACAGAACGAGACTCCGTCTTAAAAAAAAAAAAAAAAAGAAAGAAAGAAAAGAAAGGATGTTTTGAAACAGAGCCTGGGCACTAGGTCTTATCTGCTATAAAGTAGATTCTTCTTTAATCGGCTTCACCCTAGAACTGTTCAGTGTTTTCTGGAGAGGACATTATCTTATTCGAATGCCCACAGTACTGACATATACATACTCCTAGCTACTGGATGAACTCGTAGACCAATATTTCCACCCCAGACTTATGTTACACTGCATGCATGTTACTCCTCTTGGATTAATAACGTAGGAGTGCCGGGCGCGGTGGCTCAAACCTGTAATCCCAGCACTTTGGGAGGCCGAGACGGGCGGATCACGAGGTCAGGAGATCGAGACCATCCTGGCTAACACATTGAAACCCCGTCTCTACTAAAAAAATACAAAAAACTAGCCGGGCGAGGTGGCGGGCGCCTGTAGTCCCAGTTACTCGGGAGGCTGAGGCAGGAGAATGGCGTAAACCCGGGAGGCGGAACTTGCAGTGAGCTGAGATCCGGCCACTGTACTCCAGCCCGGGCGACAGAGCGAGACTCCGTCTCGAAAAAAAAAAACAAAAAACGTAGGAGCTCCTCCCTGCAACCCCTGTGGTCTCAGTTGTCTACTTGTTTTTTTTTTTTCTTTGAGATGGATTCTCACTCTGTCGCCCAGGCTGGAGTGCAGTGGCACGGTCTCGGCTCACTGCAACCTCTGCCTCCTCGGTTTAAGCAGTTCTCTCCCTCAGCATCCCAAATAGCTGGGATTACAGGCACGTGCCACCATGCCTGTATTTTTAGCAGAGGTGGGGTTTTGCCATCTTGGCCAGGCTGGTCTTGAACTCCTGACCTCGTGATCCACCTGCCTCGGCCTACTGAAGTGCTGGGATTACAGGCATGAGCCACCGCACCCCGTCTTCAGTTGTCTTCTAACAACTTTGTTCAGCTTTGCTGTGGAACATTTCCTCATGTCAGCTCCACTAGGTTGCATTAATAAAGTAACTGTATGAGGTGACATATGAAATGGCAGCCTGACTGCAATGTAGGTCTGCATGAATTCTCAGTGCTTTTACTCTTCCCATCTTGTTCCTCTCTTAACATTGACTTTGCCTTCACTTCAGTTATCCCATTCATTGTACCTTCATGCTAAGGAGCCCCCTGCCTCAGGATTTCTCTTAGCAGTTTTCTTCTGCCAGATGTGCTTATTCCTTCCTTGAAAAATAAAATAGTTCTTTTTAACACCTGAGTTCATACCCAAAGCATTATGTGTTAAAGGAATATTAACAGCAAAAACTATTTTAGAGAAGTTCTTCACTTCATGATCTAGTCACACTTTTAAAGTCAGGCATCTAGAGCATTTTGAGAAAGATAAAAGTTCAAGGAATTAATATTAGATCAGTGATCTCCATTAGAACGATCTTACAGCCACAGTCAGGACTATGAGTATGTATTAATATAAGTTTTTATTATCTCCATTTTACTGATGATGAAACTAAGAGAGCTTTAGTACTTGCATTGTCAGGCAGTAAGCAGCAGAGCCAGGGCCCAGAGCTAGCATTCTTCATTACTGTGTTCTTTCTGCCTTCCATGTGTAGAGCTGGGACACACAAGGGAGTGTTCGAGAAGACCATGGAAACGTCAGTCAGTTTCAGGAGAGCAGAATGCTATATAGTCTTTTACCTCTGAGTGCAAACATGAATTCTCATCTCATCAGAACTGACCTTGTCAGCTTTTCAATTACCTAGAATAAATAGTTTGATGGATTAGACTCTTTGCTGGTGAACAGAGTCCATGTGACATAGTCACCTCTGTAAACCCTTGAGTGCAAAGTCAAAAAAAGATCAGATGAACCTTACTTCTTTCTGGTGGTAGCTGTGGAGATTGACCATGCACAGACTGATCTCTTACTAAGGAGTTTTCTAACGGCCTTATATAAAGGAAATACTTGATAACAAGATACTATTTTCTGTTAAGTAAAAGGATTTAATTTGCCGAATCTTTATAAGCCATGCTTAACATTAAGCAACATTATGAACATTTATGAACACCTGCTATATACCAGTAACAGTGCTTTTTGTATATTGTTTTAATCCTCATAACAGTCTTTTGAAACAGGAATTATTTCACTTATAAAAGAGGACACTGAACTTGACGGGGAAATAATTTCCCCAAGATCACATACCTAGAAAGTGGCAGGAGCTGGGATACACCAAGTTAAACTCAAAAGCTAGTATTCTGTGCTCTATAGAATCTTCCTTGAATGTTCAGATTTTTTTTTTGAAAAAGTAAGTTTCAGAATACTAAATCCAATATGGTGGTCAGTATATTGTTTAAGAATTTGTGGTAAAACTGTGTGTTTGTATAAAAAGAAAGTAAAGTAATATAATTTTGAGAATAAAGGCCACCTCTGGGGTGGGGGATGGGGTGGAGGCAGAGAAATGAAATCCGAAACAAGCATACAGTTGGCTAATCAGTTTGGGCAATATTCTAGTTCTTAAGTTGGGTAATAGGTTCACATATATATTCTTTTGTACATACTACATTATAAAACCTTTTAAAGAATTGTATGTTTCTGTTATGCACCACTGTCATCCATTACATTTTCAGAAGAACCTTGGTAAACATTTGCTAGTGAAGTTCAGATAAATTCAGAGTCTTTTCTCCATATGAAACTTATTTACTATTATCTTTATTTAGGCTCTGATGACAGTATCCAGTGTGATTTGACTGCCATTGATGATTCTTTAGAAGGAGGACTCTTGGGGTTTTTTCCTAGATCCTTATCTTTGTTACGTGATTTTCATACCAGTTTCTTCAAAAGACAATGGCTAGTTTATCTTTGATATTTGTCTTGCAAAAGGACTTTGTGTGTGTGTGTGTGTTTTACTTTTAATTACCAAAAATTTCAAACTTAAAAATGG